GGGGTGGGGGGGGGGGGGGGGGAGAAAGAAATGGGTCAGGTTATCGCTTGATGGCACACCTCGTAAAAATGTTTGATGGCGGCTCTCACCATGTTGACGATATCCTCCGAATCCTCACTTGAGTCAAGGTGAAGGTTGAGGACGGTAGTCTCTATCCAGGCGTTGTCTGTGTTTCTGACGTCATCCACGTAACCTTCAAACACCTGAAGTTGTGACAAATAAGAGTAACAAAGGCAAAAAGAATAAAATAAGAAATAAGAAGACAGTCGTGTATTTTCGTGAAAAGATTAGAGGCGTCATATTATGACAATGGTCGTAGATTTTCAGGGCCAAAGTGGTAATATGAAAAGAAATAAATAACATTACAAGAATGAAGTTGTATGTTTTCAAGAAAGTTGTTTATTTTCAAAATAAAAGTATACTTTCAAGATTAAAATCATGGTATGAGGATAAAGTGAATTTTTTTTTTTTTTTAGAACAAACGTTATAATACGACAAAGTTGTATACTGTTGAGATAAAAAGTTGGCTCTTTTTTAGCTACAAATTTAGAAAAAAATTTGGGGAATAAATCAGAAAGTCGTACTATTGCTAAAATAGTAATATATTTTTGAGAAAATGAAGTTTCATATTGAAACTGAAAAAATATATTTTCCAGGTAAAATAACACATTTTTAAATTTAAAGTTGTAATATTATAAAAAGAAAGTTTTATTTTGTGTATGTTTGAGTAAAATGTCTATAGAACTATTGTAGACTGTCCAAAATAGAAGGATGTATTGAGTTGGTTCCTTCTGTATTCTTGGTGACAAGTAGAGTTCCAACCCTGACAATTTTCAACTACTACTGTACTTAAATGACAAGAAACACATTTAGAAACATTATCATTTACTCAACAAAGTGTTGAAATAGACCTACCAGTATTCCCTCCGCTATCTTTTCACATAATTTTTCATACAAGCTCTCGCCCATGGTTCTCATCAGAGCGGATGGCAGACGTTCTGCAGATTCAACCGGTCCCTGCGGGGGTTCGTGAAATGTGGGGCGTCATTTCAATGTCACGTGACCTACTACCAGGTTAAAAAGCACAGCCGTACTCACCCCTGGTAGAACCATCTTTTGCTGCTTGTCTTCAACTGCCAGAAACTCCAAAACTGAGCGCCCACTGTCCCGCAAACTAGAAAAAGAAGATATACTGTAAGCCCTCTGATTATTATATGCACAAATTGAGAGTACAGTCCTGTTATTTTTCTTGAAATAGACCCACCGTGTAATCACGAGGTCTACTTGCAGATTTGGACCAAGATGACTGAGTGAACCCCGACCTCTGATGCCAGTCCTGCCTCCAGGGTTTCTAGTGTCAAAAGGCAGTCAGATACATGATGTTAGGTTTACCGTACCGGACCATCAATCAACATCCATTTATCTAAACACCATACCTATAATTTTCCAAGACTTCAGTGTCTGATCTGTGAGGAAGACAACAATAGAATCAAGTAGCTAAAAGGCAGGGGTCATTCAGCTAGATTGCTATATGTGATGTATGTCATGTGACATAATGGATTTCAGATGTGGATTTTGGCCTGTTTTACTGCTTCTTTTCCTCTCTACCCATCCCTCCTCTCCAAGTGTCATAACATAAAACGTACCCGTCTACATTGTCCTCTGAGCTAAAATATGAAGGCGTGTATGAGGTGAAGCTGACCTAAAAAAAAAAAAAATGAGTGAGTAAAATTGGAAGCAGTGCAGTGTGGATCAGAGGGTGAAATGTAAATGCTGAATACCTCCCACGGCACTTTCTCCTCAGGTACAGGGAAGCGAGTGACTTTGCTGTTTGGATAGTGGAACTGTCGGGCTTTGACGTGAAATCCGTCTGTCTCTTCCACAGATTCCAGGGTTTCGGAAGAGTCCTTCCCTGTTGGAAGTATCGCTGAAGGAAAAGACAGGATCAATGTAAGGAAATGAATGATATGAAATGTATTGAAAAGGTGAAAAAAAATTGAAAGCAGACGCAGTGGTTGCTCCTCTTTCCAGGCAAGGCCCTTGGACTTCAGACTCTCCATGATCCACTGCAGGCCTTTGGCTGACTGGACAACCTGCAGGTAGGATTCAATGTATCAACATACAATGGGACATAAGGTGTGTTGCTCGTATCATTGTGCAAAGATGGGGTCACGACCTGCTCCTCCAGTCGGGCCAGACGCTTAATCAAGATAGCAGAGCTAATCTCCTCTTCCCGCTCCAGCCTCTCGGTTATGGCGTTGACTCTGGAGAACATACATTGTCGAAAACGTGACTCATCTTTATGAATTTTAAAAACAGTTGTTATTAGCTCATCTGCCTCACGGTTCTGAGGTTGTGGGTTCGAATCTCGGCTCAGCGCTTTTAGTGTTGAGTTTGCCAGTTCTCCCCATGGAGGGTTAGGTTTAGGTCCACTCATAATTCGTAAATTGGGTTAAAATTGGTTTATTCTCAATTTAAAAAAAATTGTAAAAATGTAAAAACGACATCAGGTAGCTCAAATGGATGCATTGATTTCAAGATTGGAGAGGTTCGTACTTTTGCGCAGTGTCCACGATGCAACGTTCCATGGTCTGACTCCGCTGCTGCTGAGTGGATAGGAGGTATCTGTCCTTCATCAGGGCCTCCCACGATAGCAGCTCCTCTTCTTCAATGTGAGGAAGTTCAGTCCCTGGAAAAAAAAAAAAGATGAGAAAAATATTGGCCCACGCTGTTAACAAAAGTGAAGTGGAATCTTATATGGGTGATGCTCTGTTTGTTAGTTAGCGGGCGACTTTCTAGTTCAAATAATATAATGTAAGAAGACAGAATGTATTTATTTTTCTGTAACATTCGTCTTTTGTTTGGAGTTTGTGTGCCCTTATTGAAACATCTCTATTTGGTTCAAAATGCTGATGCTTGCCTCTTACCTGGAACACATCAGATGGATCACATTACTGCTATTCTGGCCTCACTTAATGCACTTTAAGATTCTGCTATATGATTTGAAATTTTACCTCTCTGAGCTTCTCCAGTCCAGAATATTGAATAAACTCCCAGTGCACATTAGTTTTATTAGTTTTTATCATTTTTTAACTTTCTTGTTGTTGTTTTACTGTCAATTGTCTTTTGTTTAGTTTTTTTTTTTAACACCACTTTGTTTCAGCTGTGGTTGCTTCGTAGTGCACTAAAAATGAAACTGAATTGAGTTGAGAATCTAGCATGGATGTTTTTGAAATGTGGGAGGAAATCGGCGTACCAAAAGAAAACAACCTACAAACAGATTGAGACCTGGAATTTCAGAAATCTGAAGCATACCGTACGTGCTTAATACTACTCCACCGTGCTGGTATAAAACATTCATTTAAATTCAAATAAGGGGGTGGGGGGGGGGATCAAGTATCCCATTTGAGTCGGAAGTGAAACCGTAACACAATAAACCTGAATGTGTGGCGTTGTACTCACTGAACTTTCGTGATTTAAGTGGTGGCCTGCAAAGAAGCACATTCCTGATGAAGATGTAAAGGTGGCTGAGGATGATGAAGGGGGGAGGGGCAGCGGGCCGGCTGTGGTACTCCTTAATGAGCTCGTATCTTTGGAACTTCCATATACGGTCTGTGTTGTCCTGCACTTCCTGGAAAGTGAAGCTGCAGCAGCCAGACAGAGAGTTTGTAAAATTCACAAGCACAGTTGAGCGAACAAAGAGGAGGGAGGACTTACTTGAAGATGGCGATCAGAAGGTTGAGTAGAAGTATATTGGCAAAGAGGAGGTAAACGCACAGCATGATGATGGTGAGCCACTCAGGGAAGGCCGGGGTTTGGTTCTCATTCAACACAGGACATTTGGGCTTCAAGGGGTCGGTGCCATTCATGCTGCAGGAGTCCAAGTCAAATTCTGAATCTGAAATAGGCAAATCCCATGGTTCCATGGTGCCAAAACAGCGCAACCAAAATAGATTTGATGTTTCTTCCCCGCACCCTAAATACTTGGGGTGTGATGATTCACTTGCTTGTGTGACGATTAGATTTATATCATGGTTATTGATTACTAGTACAACTGTAGTGCGATTTGCGATTCATTATCACCGTTATTGTTTTCTTTTTCCTCTAACAAAACATTGTTTTCTAATAACATTCTAAACAATATGGGCTGCTCCCTGGACACTCTGGAGGAGGTGGACAACAGGAGGATGCTAGCTAAGCTAACAGCTATGATGGACAGACCATCCAGGCCACCCTGACAGCACTGGGCAGCTCCTTCAGCCAGAGACTGATACACCCGTGCTGCAAGAAGGAGAGGTACTGCCGCTCGTTCCTGCTGTCAGGCTACTGAATAGACAGTCCTGAAAACCTGGACTCACCCCCACTTACCCATTTTTAATATGCTTATATTTATTGAGATACTTTTTGTCTTCTACTTTCTCCCTTTCATAGTTTTGCTGCTGTAAAGTGGGAATTGCTCCATTGTGAGACAAATAAAGTTTTTTTTTTAAATGTTATCTTTAATACAAACCAGAAACAATACATACGTTGAATCATGTATTTAAATCAATGCAGGCAATGAAAGTCAGTCACTCTTTCTGACATTTATTTCAGAAAGAGCCAACTGCGTGGCTCAGCCACTGAGTCGTTCAAATGACGTTGAGTGACTGCAGAATACTGAAGTTTTAATATAAACCATAAACAACACATACGTTGAATCATGTATATTAATCAATGCAGGCAATGAAAGTCAGTCACTCTTTCTGACATTTATTTCAGAAAGAGCCAACTGCGTGGCTCAGCCACTGAGTCGTTCAAATGACGTTGAGTGACTGCAGAATACTGAAGGCCATTGACTGACCGCAACAAATTAGCTCCTCGCTGTCATCTGCTGGAGAAAAGTGGTCACATCACCTTTGCTTTTTGAAAAATCATGAAAATTGATTTTGAATTTTGACATCGATTTATTGAATTTGGCATATAAAATCCCAATAGTTTAGTGATTTTTTTTTGCACACCCCTACTAAATACATGGAGACCTTGGATTATGACGTTGTTTCATTGCAAACCAATGATCTCTTTGACACTACAACTGTGGAAAAAAAATAACAGCTAGTTCCACTTTTGGCAGTAATATAACATTATACTAATGGTCAGTCCCCATATGGTTTGTTATTTTTACAAATAATTAACCAATCCAAAGTGTCAAAAATAGCTTGAGTGTCAATTTCTTATTTACTGTATGTTGGACACTTCAACTATCTGTACCTCTTCTTGACTCTCACTATCAAATATGAGAAAAAAACATGATATTGAGGTGTTAAGTTGATATTGGTACGCAACAGTATATAACAGCAGTATAAAGTAACCTATCAATTTGAATGATGCTGTGTTTGGTAATACAGTACGCCAAGATGGTATTGTTTTTTTTTTGTTTTTTTACTTTCCCCTCAAAAAAGTGGTTTTGGAGTAAGGTTTTTGTCGTGTTTGCTCACAATCAACGTTGGTGGGGACGTTGCCAAATATGATGAGGTAGGGCTCGTATACGGCCCCCCGGAAAATCCACTCCAGTCGCCTATCGTTGTGGATCAGAATGCCCTGCTTGGCTACGCCATACGCCACCACCCAGATACTCAGCAGGAACATGAAGAAGAACATGTCCATCATCTCGAGAGAAATATGATGCTGGTGAGTTGCTTTGTTATCATTGCTATTTGGAATATGTCATATCTGGATCCTCCTACCATCCTCCTGACGATGATGATCTTAGGTCCAAGCGTCCGACTGATGCTGAAGATGGCCATGAGACGCAAGCAGAAGACCACAAAGTCGATGCAGAGGATGATCTTGCCAGCGTAGAATAGCTTGGTTGTTAGCCTTGAGGAGACAAATGATGATGAGATGCCATGATGAGCCTGGAGTCAACAGTTTGTTTGCCCTGGAGGACATGATAGCTCACCTAAAGACAAGGCCGATGATGAAGAGGACAATGGACAGAACATCCAAAATATTCCAAAGTTCTCTGATGTACATCCTGGCTTTTTTATGGAACCCAAAGCCATCAGGGTCATAAAACAACTGAGGTCAAAAAGACAGAAAGTACAGCGGAAGATTAAAAAAAAAACACCCCAAATTTCTTACACAAGGCTTTGGCTACTCAGTACAATATGAGCAATATAATAAATTAATTTGAAGCTCCAATCATCTCAAACTCCATGATATCTAAATTGACCACCAAAATCTAATGCCGCCCTAGTTGTTAAAAAGAAAGAAAACTGTCTAGGCTACCTGCTTCCGATTAGGGTTTATTTGGGCAAAGTACATCATAGGGCTGAATCAAAGTATGAGCCCTGGAACTCACTCAAAACGGGTGCTTCAAATCAGGGTTATAATAGTTTGGGATGTTTCATTATAGATATTTTTCATTTTGTCTTGAGTATTTTCTTTTTTCAAAATTGATTTAGTTTTTAAAACAGCACAAGCTGACAATTTCGCTCTGCCAACATCTTCCTTTTTCTCATTACAGATGGCGTAGGTTTCATTTTTATTCCACATTGATTATGCTTTGTTTATACTTGCACAATAGTTAAGAATGTCAAAATGTTACTTTAAACAAAGCCTACATAAAGCGGACTTCTTACCTGCCGGACCTCTTCGCTCACCACAGAGAAGAGCCACACATACAGCAGAATCTCCGCAGGGGAGGGTATGGTCTGAAAGTCCATCATTAGCACCACCGCAAAGAGGAAAAGGAAGGCGAAATAGGACACGATATTCCAGTAGAACTTGACCTGTGGCGAGCTGTACAAGCAAGCCAGTCTGGACCAGCAGTTCAGAGACTTCATGGTTGTGAGATCACTATTGGGGTGATAATAGGGCCCATCATCAGTATACGTTCCAATGGAATGTAGTGATGGACATAAATATTTACTCACGGATTTTTAGCTTTTGATCGGAGCACACTTCCCGTGACGCTTGCCACCGTCTTGATATCCTCACTTTTCTCATTTTGCTTTTGGATTAGCTCGTCAGGTCTTGTAAGGATGGGGAAAGGTTCATTAACATAATGGATTTGGTCCATAAGGAAAACCATATTACAGTATACAACTATCAATCCGTCCATTCTCAAGAGCACACGTCCTCATTAGGATTAGGGTGATCTGTAGCCTATCCCATTTTAATTTTGGGTACGCACTGGATTAGTAGCCCGACACATATTGACAAATAATCAGTCACACTCAGAATTACACTTTTACTGTCTTCAGTAACCTAACATATATTCCGTAGCATGCAAACTCCACATGGCAAGGCCGGAGTTGAGAGTCAAAACCCCAACCTCAGAACTGTGACGTCGACAATGTCACCACTAGTCCCGTGCTTTACCTTTAAAAGTGACATTTTGGACAGAAAAGCAATGATGTCATGACCTCATTGGACAATTATAAAACCGACCAAGAAGCCAATCAGATTGCAGTCAGCCCTCAGCCTAGAATAGTGGTATATTTGCATACTATCTGAGGGACACCTATCCAGAAATCACAATTTGATTGTCAGTGCCGCTGGATGGAAATTACAAATAGTATCCCAGAAATATCCAATCAGATCACTGCAGCGTAATCCCGAATGTTGGTCTGCTGCAATAATGTGAGGGTCACCTGTAGGTCAGGAAGCCAGTGTAGATAAGCGGGAAGAAGATCATGCAGATCGTCACTCTCCACACAGGATTGTCCACTGAAAGTTCACCACACCAGATCTCAGTCAGCAGGGCCTGTTGGAAAACGGACACGGATGCACAACACATAGCAATATACTATACACTTTGTTTTGTTTTTTTATTCCCCACAGTCTTAATTTGGGCATGGCTTTGTCAATATTTGAGGAGCAACAGGTGTTAACACAGTAAATTATGGAAGTGTTTGTGCTATTATTGGCTCCAGTCTCATAATGTAATAGAGTCCGAATGCTTCTTTACTGTTTTTAAGTATTTGACACAGAAGCATTGAAGTGCCAACATGGAGTAAAAAGTTCTGACTGGACTATGTTGTTTGAATGCACTGCAACCACTGGAATGACCAAGACGTTGGAACGTGTTGGTAAAATGTAGGCCAGATGCTATTTTTCCAACAATGCCACAGGGTATTGTATATAAGTGTGGAACTGACAAAAAAGGGATAGCTATGCCAATTATCTTAGATTTTTTTGACAATAAAAATTTAACCATGCAGAAAGAACACACAATGTCAGCAGCACTTTACATAAACGATGTTTACTCACTTAATTTTCACTGTTGATGCATTTCACCCTGTCCACTTTTAAAGTTGTTGCATGCACAAGTCAACCTCGTGGCATTATGCGGGGAAAATGCCATGTTTTTTTTAGAATTTAGCCTTTGTTTTTCCAATACATTGGAACGATTTTACCAAGACATTCCAACAACATTATGAATATGTTCGAACAACTTTGCAGTACATTCAAACGACTTTACCAAGACGTTCGAATGAATTCACCAAGACGATTGAACGAGTTTCCATTACGTTCAAACGAAATAGCCCAGTTAAAAACTGTTTACTCCACATTGGCAATTCCATGCTTCCGTAAATTGATATTAATCCAGTGAAGTAAAAACGTCAATGTTCTTTTAGTTATCGTGCACTTTTTTTTAGGCATACCGTAAACTTAATGGCAACATGTTCGAGCTAACTTTGCTCATTAGCCAATACACAGCTCTTTAACTAAACCACTGAAATGAATTCAATAGATAAAACATAACCTTTTTCTGTCATTGTACTTTTACTCAAGCTTTACTTTCAAGTGTTTTATACAAAGCTTGTTGGCTCTACCTGGACACCTGACAACGCCACAAAACTTTTACAGTTAGCCTCCAGCGCTAGTCTCAGACACGTGGTCTTCCCCCAATTGCTTTACACGCGAACCAGCAGCCTCTTAGCACGCTCCTCACCACCACTGTAACACTGGGTGAACACACCTACAGTTAAACACAAACACACACAATGGAATAATCTCTGGACATTGGTTCTCCTCAGTGCGTGACGTATAGTCATACCGATGGCGTGCATCTCAAAGTGATCAGCCAGGTCTCGCATTTCCACGGCCTCGTCCGCATCGCTGCCCTCCTCTGCCATTTTTCGCAGGATCTTGCAGGCGGCCAGAGCGGCGGACACACAGTCTGTACACTGTTCAAATCAGCATACAATGAATTTAACTGATAGCTACACGGTATGGGACAGTGTTTTCCAACAACCACAGGAAATATTCTGAAATATAGTTACTCTAAGTGCACAAGTAAAAATGAATCGTGTCCCATAGCTTTGCTAACGTGAAGTGACTAAACAAAATGTTAAATTAGCTAATGATAGCATCTGAAATTATACATTTTACCTGCATGGTTTTCAGAGTAGACTTTGTCTAGATTAGAGAATTTGTGAATGTCACAAGCTGGTGTATTTTTAAGGCTCGCACATGATGTAACGCAATTGCTATCATTGTTGGAGCTGATGACATTAAAATCTCTTAAATAAAGCCTTGCATGGGGAATATCTGGGTTTCCGAATCTGTTGCCATTGTTGTTAATGTTCCTCTAACGTTCCTCAATGACAACATTGTACCTGTTTCTTCCCCAAGATCTCAATCAATTAATTCAAGATCTTAACAATAATTGACTATACCTCCTGCTTTTTAACATTGTATTGTCAACTATTGAAGGTGAAAACGTAACCGGCCTATTTCAACAAGGTAAGTTAGTCGAGGGCGGCACAGTGGTCAACTGGTTAGTACATCAAAGTGCAAAGGTGCAGGGTTCGATTCCGGCTACGGCCTTCCTGTGTGGAGTTTGCATGTTCATCCTGTGCCTGCGTTGGTTTTCTCCGGGTGCTCCGGTTTCCTCACACATTCCAAAAACATACATGGCAGGTTGATTGTGCATTGCAAATTGGTTTTGAGATAGAATGATTGTGATTGGCTGGCAACCAGTTCAGGTTGCACCCTGCCTACTGCCCGAAGACAGCTGGGATAGGCTCCAGCACGCCCGCGAGCCTTGTGAGAATAAGCGTATTGGAAAATGGATGGATAGAATTTAGTCGAATGTATACAAAGTCATTTTCTTGAACGTCCCCTTTTAAGTGAAATTGGACAATTTCCCACACACTAAAGTACTGAGGGCCATTGGTTGGGTATAACTGCTATATAGTCTTTTCTGTCATCTCGCTTACCTGTTCCCAGGTGATTTCGGACAGCTCTCTATTTTTCTGGACGACAGCCCAAAGAAAAAGGTCCCTGGCTGGGTCTCTCTGGGCCTCAGCGAGGTCCACCCTGAGGGGAGCTTGAGAACCCGACAAGCTTCTTGACAGCTAGAAAGATGGTGGAGGGGATTAAGCAATGTTCTTTGCTGAAATGATTTTGTCTAAGAAAATTGTGCCTGCTCGGCACTGAGGCAGAAGCTGTTTGATGAAACCACAGGTGCACAGCAAAAATTAAACTACTGTAATGAGCTCATCACTCCAGTATCAATCTGATATTGATGGTGAGTTGGTATCCATCAAATCAACATTTGGATGGATCCACACACCACTAGTTTAAGTATGGAGTGGTGCAGAACTGCACTAGATCATTCTCGGCAGTGCCATTCATCAAACTTCTTCAAATGTGATTTTCTACCCTTTCAAGTGGCTTCTGAAATGTGAAGATAGGATGAGTGGGAAGTCATTACAAATGAAACAGTAGATGATGGAGTGAGTGTCTCACCGATGTTGCGTCCTCCATGTTAAAGTGGTACATCATGGTGGGGGGCGGGTAGATTGGTTGGGTGAATTTACCCAGCAAGTGTCGCTCCTCGTCCGACACGTGACTCAAGGCGATGCCCGTGCTCTGTGATGAGCACACACGGTTTCTGGTGGCGAACACTCTCCTCCTCCGAGGGCAGGAGGCGTGGACACGTTTGGCCAGCTTGCGCAAGAAGAAGCAGTTGGGCAGCTGCTTGTAGAGCTCGCACAGAGTGTCTTCGCTCTGCAGAAACTCCCTCAGACTCACACCGTTCTCCAGCAGGAGGCTCACAAACCGAGGCTTGTTGCCGGCCAGGGCTGAGAACATGGCCCAGTGGAGATCACTGGACTGGAGGATGGGATGAAAATGTAGAACATGGCGTTTAAACCTTTCAGGGACAGCGGTTACTACAGTGGAGAGCTTATCATGTTGTCAGGTTGTCATTATTGGTGCATGAAAGGGTTAAGACGGGCCGACACATACTGACAATTGGGCCTAAGTCATGGAAGATAATCATTGCTATGTTGTTAGCAAATGTTTATGGTAGTGACAGCTTGAATGGGCCTACACATACTGACAATTGGGCCTAAGGCATGGAAGATAATCATTGCTATATTGTTAGCAAATGTTTATGGTAGTGACAGCTTGAATGGGAATCCAAATATATGATCTGGCCACTTTGATAACAATGTGGGCCGACTCACCTTCCATTGACTCTCGTCGGTGAAGATCTCGGTGGCGGCTATGTCCACTCTGTTCCAGACTATAGCCAGCTCCAGCTGCCTCCGCCATCCCTCCACTACTCGTGATGCGCTGGCCCGTGAAGCTGAATGGTTGAACAGACAGTGCAGAAATAAGTTTCGCACTGGGTAATCTGCAATACTGGCAGGTAGGACCACACAAAACAGTTTTAGCTGGTGATGCTCTTTTTGTTCAGAATTTGTATTTTAAATTTAATACAGAGCAAGGATTCAATTAAAGAGAACTGTATTTAATTACCCTGCCATTTAAGCCTTGCACCTAATAATGATAACCTGTAACCCGATAACATGATAAGCTGTCCACCGCAGTAATCGCTGTCCCTGAAAGGGTTAAAGTTAAAATGTAACACACAGCAGTGATTTAACTTACTGATTAAAAATAAAAATGTTGAAAAAATAATGTTCTGTTTAATAAAGAGCAGAGTAAATGTCATGTTTTAAACATGTATTTATTATTAAATCATGACAATAAAAATGCTCCTGAAGTTCGCAGACAACGTTCTTCAATCAGACCTTTGTTGGTAAGCGCTGTGTCTCAGCACCATTAATGGCGTAATTAGTGCTCCACAGTGGATGCGCTTTCCCCGGAGATTTTGATAATGAGGTTCCGATGCCAGTCAATTGCTCAGAAATAGCTCCCAAGTACACAGTGGCAAAAGATCGTCTCAAGCGAAGTCAGCAGGAAATCTTCCAGGAAATTGTTTGAGTGATATCAATGGAGGTCGGAGATGGAAACCATCTGGAAAGCAATGTGGAATCATCTAAAAGCATTCTAAGTACAAGCTCACCTTTAAAGAGTGCTTGTAAAATGGCCACATCCACATCTCCGTGACTGTCTCCACCTCCTCTGAACACAGTCAGCAGGTGAGACATCCTGATGATGTCCTGAATCTGGCACAGGAGGTAGAAGTATGAACAGATAAAATTAAGGAGAATAAAAGGTGATTGTGTTCACCTACCTTTTTGGTCCACTCAATGATCGTGAGGTCGGTGAAGTTGTCGTACTCCAGGCTAAGGAACTTCTTGAGCAGGCGGTGGATGAGACTGATGGTGACCTGGCTCACGGGTAGTCCCGCCGCGTGGGCGATCACGTCAGCTATTCTCCCGGAACCCTCCAACACCACACACGGCGTGTCATTGAGCATGGCTGTGTAGATGGTCTGGGGAGGACGTGGACAAGACGCGGTCAGAAGTCAGAATGAGGTGAGGATGAGGACACAAGACAGAACTCACATTGAGAGTGCCTCCTCCTCCGTCCAAAACCACACACACCGCAGGAATGGTCACACCAACAGCTGGCAATATATATTAAAAAAAAAAAAAAAACAGTTTTAGAATTTTTGACGCAAAAATGCAGTACAGTACATTAAAAAAAGGACTTTGTGGTGGTAATCCCAGAATTTTCCTGTCATAGCACCCATACCCCAAAGTCCATACCACCACATCATGAGAATCGTAACTTTCAGTACGTTCCACATCGCAACTTCTATACTCCAGTTTCCATAACTTGACTTTCGTATCTCAACGTTGGCATTGCAACATTTCCAAAGACTTCCACAACAACGAACCTTTGTTTCCAAGAGTCTTTTGGGAGATGAACTTCTCCAGACGACTTCTAAGATCGATCTCGACACCATAGCGACCGTAGGTGCCATCATCCACCAACAGGAAGTGGGTGTGATTGTTGTCAAGGCAGGGAAGTCGACCCTTGACGTCCATTGGGTAATGAGCGGGGAAACAACCCTGAGAGGAACACGGGTAATCAGACTTTGTCTATGATGACTGACAGTGACACTGAATTGTGTCCAATGTACCTGCGAATGCACTAACACTTCTTTGTTGTGAATGACTCCCCACGTTGCCAGTCCAATGGTCACAATCTGGCCCTGCATGGAACTGCTTAGGGAGTAATCCCTCACAGCCTGCCCAACATGCTTCATAACACCAGTGTTGGTTCCGCCCGTGATGATCCATGCACCTGCACAAAATCACTCTTGGCCTTACTGATGTTCACACTAAAGTCGCAGTTTATTTTTCATGCTCTTGTTTTTCCCTGTAAATGCTGGTATTTTATTGATTTTGTTTAGCTGCTGTTTGTTTGAACTTTGTTCTTGCTATACTTTCTAGTTTTGCTCGAATACCACTAATCTGTTCATAGTTGTACAGTTGCACGCCAGCACCTGTTGTCTGGGCCACTTTGATGAGACCTCTTTGGAAGACGTTTTTGAGCCGGGTTTTCAGGTAGAAATTCTTGGCTCCCCCGGTGACTGAGATGAGCAGGTTGGGTGGAGACACTTTCCACTGTTCAGTCATTAACTGGTAAAGCACCTCAGGAGTGGTGTCTGTGGACACTCGAGCATACTAAAGATAAAGAAATAACAACAAGACATTTCATAACACTTATATCGGACATTGTTCAGAATCATAGGCATTATTGAGCTGCTAACATTAAACTTAACATAACTAACTATACACTAAATCCAGACAAATCGTGTGGTATTTTAATGACAAAATGTATGTAGCAAAAGACCATTCATTAGTATCTACTGCCTCATTGTTGTCAGGGGCTTATTGCAGAAACTGAACTTCCACCGCACTAGTTCAGTTAATTGTCTGCGATGATGATAATTTTTTGTCAAAGTATTTTCTATACTCCTCCAAGCACAGACTCAAAATAGTACAGTCTCATCATGTTATCCCAACCACTTTATGATTTCGTTTTAAGTTGTGTTAATATTCATCAAAAGATGTTGGCCAAAAATGTCTTGACGACTTGGTCTCTTTTACTGCCGCTTCACGCTCCCCCCGCCTCACTCTCTCCTGCACAAGGTGGCGATAACCAAAATCAGGCTTTTTCTGTGACGATTCTGCATCAACCGCCCAGGTCATGTCATGAAGCACCTGTGGTGCTTCATTTCATTAATGGACTTGCTTGCTGTTTGCTAATATTTTACGTCATCATATCATGTAATTGAATTTTGCCCCATTCGGCATTCATTGTAGTCTGGTTATCCTAGAGTTCTTATATCTCTGATCTCTTCTCAAAGTTTTTTTTCTTTTTTTCCCCCTTAATTAAGTTTCTCAGTTTTTCCTTGGCCAGCTGAGGGCTCAATATAGATTTTGTAAATGTTTGTGTACTTTTGGCCAGCAAAGCCATTGGGGATTCTGTCAATTAAGGGCTATATAAATAAACTTGACTTGTGGCGTGTTTGCTGAACAAATTATGTCAAATAGGCCCGAAATAGTATTCTACTGCCTTGGTCTTGTCAGGGCCCATATTGCATGTATGTATAGAGATTGTTGTTTTTGTTCACCTTGGTTGTCGTCTGTCTCAAACCACCAAAGCTGATGTCCCCGAAAGCATCCGTGGGTACTTCACGGATGTGCGTGAGCGGGTCCCAGGTCCCGCTACCCATGACCTCTGTCTGAATGGCGTCAGCCACATGCTCACTCTTGGAGTAGCCGCACATGCACACATCCTCTCTGAGGTGAGCCAAGGAACAAGACATTCAACTATAACAGTGATTTGAGATACAAGTTATAACTTGCGAGTTTTTCCAGATAAAAGACGTTGTTTGGCCAAGTTTTGCTTTGACTTGCGAGCACATACGTGAGTGCTGTATGGTGGCAGTGACTGAAGTCATTTCACGACAAGCATTAGTTTGGCAGAGAGTGAGAAATTCTTCAAAAAAAAGAGGCTTCAAGCCATTTATTGCCACTCCTATTGTTTACTGTCAAACTAAACATAAATCAAAGGCAAGCATATCTTTTGTCTTTCACAGAGCCAATCAATTTGCTTTAAGTATGTTTTGTTGTTTCTTTGGGAACAGATTAATGACATTTCCATTCAATGGGGAAAGATGATCAGAGATGGGAGAGTGTTCACGGAACAAATTACACTTGTACATCAAGTCACCACTGGACAAGGTCATTCATGCGACTTCAGAAACAAAAGCTCCCCTACCTGGCACCGATTTCAAAGAAGCAGCACTCCTTCTTGCGGATGTTCTGTCGGATCCAGGTGACATGCTGGAAAGTAGGTGTCAAAGAAACCACCTTCAAGGCTGTGCCGGCACTCAAAGTCAGATTTTGAATAAGATGAGACCCTCCTGTCTGCTCCATGGCAGTCGAGGCAAGCTTAGCAAAGAGTGATAGCAATAACACAGTAACAGTTCCTTGAGTCTAGCCTGTTTGTGCTGTCTCATCCCTCTCATCCTGTGATGTCAGTTAGAGCAGAGCCTGCTGCCAAACCTCCCATTACTGAGAGTCGGATGCCAGCGCTGGATCAATAAATTACATCACTGGTGGCGGATTAATCACAGATTTATAACCCCTCCAGAAAAAAAAAAACAATTAAGATGCATCACTTGGAAACCATAACACACTTTGTACAAACAAAAATGAAAAATAACTCGTCAAATGCATTTATAGCTCTTGTCTTCAGTTTAGCAACCTCTACGCACTCTTGCTGTCCTGTCCCAATACTTTTGACCGACAGCATTCTTAAAAATGTGTGTTTGAAGCGTTACATACAAATATGTTGAATGTGGGAAAAGCTTCAGAAATAGAATAATGAGTATTTACTAGCATACCGTGTTGAAGCTAATTGCTCCAAGTTACCAAATTAACAGTACTCTGTGTTAAATAACGGACACACCGCAACTGACGCTTCATTTCATTACTGCACCTTTGCCATTGATTTACATTTGAATCTTTGTTGCATTTTTTATTACTTTTTTAATTTATTTATTTTACGTGATCAAGAATAACCTTTGGCGGCATGGTGGTCAACTGGTTTGCACATCCGCCTTTCAGTGCAGAGGTACAGTGTTCTCCGAGTCCCTGCGTGGGTTTGCCTGTGAGTATTAGATTATATATCTTACATGTGTTGCTGCTTGTCTTCAGACATTCATTGCTTTAAGGGTAAACACTGCCACATAGATGCTAAGTGTTAGCCCGTGTGCCTTTCGAGTTTCCCATTGGTTGGAGTCTATAAGAGTGGAAATAAAGAGTTTCAATCGTTCTATTTTGAAGAATATTTACCAATATCTGCCAAACCACTGTTTGTTGTGAAGTGAGTTGAACCACCTGCCAGTAATGGGTGCTCGCAAGTTAAGTCAGAGCAAAAAAGTCGCGTCTTGAAAAACATGCGTAAGTCAGGTCACTCATAATTCAAGGCACCACTATATTTGAAGGTGATTTTTTTCCCCATGACTTTTTCAGAAACTTTATCATTTGTAATATGGGCGAGTCGGCTGTGGGTATAATTTATTAATTTTCTTGGAAAAATCCCCTTTTTTTTAACCTGACAAAAATTCGCCGGCTTTAAAGGAAGGTGGAGTGAGTTTGATGCGGAAGTGGACAGACACTCACCTTTTTAAAACACTCAATTACTTGGTTGAGTCGACATTTCTTCTTCTGATGTCGAGCCATCACGTGAATCCTTTCCTCCCTCTTCGCTTTGGCAGAAGACAAGACAGGGATGAGCCACTTCATTAGGCACACCTGCACAGTAATAATTTAAAAAAATACACCCAATACAAGAGCTGTTTTGCAACATTCTTTTACTTCTTTTCCTTACCTTCAGTTGTTCCCCTTTCTTCCACTGACCACAGCAACCAACATGAAGCTGTGATACTTAGCTTGGAAAACACAACAGTCACACACTGTTGCGGCATACAGGTGCAAAGTTTCATTTTCATCTCCAGGCATCACAGCGTCTGTTGCCAGGCAACACCTGCTTAGTATCCATGCTGAGATTTACACTTTGGGGTTGTAATATGACAAATAACTGTGTGGAATCTTTGGAGAAAAACAAATTAATTATAATATAGAAATGCATGGAAATAAATAAAATCAAATAAAATAGTATTAAAATGTAAGAGTAATTAAAAAAAAAGAAATTTAAAAGAAAATGCTAACTCTATTCAACTGTGTCAAAAATAAAGTGTAGTAAAACGTCACCACGCTGTCATTGCGTAATAATAGTGCGACAGATTTCTTGGTGGTAAACAAAGCAACATGGAAGCGAGTGTTCTTTCTTCTATCATGCTTTTAACCGTCCACAAAATGGTCGAAAAGCAGCGGAGGATCAACTCTTTGCTACTACTGAGACAACGTAGACGACGTGAATTTTTGGCCGAAATTGAAAGGAGTCGTATAAGTTACAGAAGGAGGAGAAAAGCCTTTGTTGCCTTCATTGTGGCTGTTGCTAACGCTGCTACACCGACCGTTCGTCGTATGTGGACCCGGGACAGAGCACACTGTTTTTGGTCAACAATTCAGCATTTAGGTGACGAGCAGTGGAAGGCCCACTTTCGTATGACCCGGGAAACGTTTGACTATTTAGTAGAACTCCTTGCTCCAGCCATAACACGACAAACGACAAACCTTCGAACGCCTATTGAACCACGCCGGAGAGTCGCCATAGCTCTGTGGTGGTTAGCGACCTCGGGAGAATACCGCACCATTGCGTGCCTTTTTGGTGTTGGCCTTTCCACTGTGTGCAATATAGTGCGGCAAGTAACTAATGCGTTAGTGGACACATTACACCAACGCTTCATTTCCTTGCCAACTGGACAACGCTTAGACGCCACAATTGCTGGATTTGTAGAGCGTGGTTACCCCCAGTGCGCTGGTGCTATCGACGGGACGCACATTCCAATTATTGCCCCACGGGACAACCCAGAAGACTACCACAACAGAAAGGGTTGGTATTCGATCATCTTACAGGCAGTTGTGGACCACAATTTCTGGTAAGCAAAACAACAAATGCACGAATTCTATGGCTGTGTACTCTTCATTTGTTCAGTGTTTTAATATTTTCTTTCAGTTTTACTGATGTATACGTGGGTTGCCCTGGACGTACCCCTGATGACAGGGTGTTCGCCAACTCAGACCTGTTCAAACTTGCAGAGGCGCAGCAACATGGCTACCTTTTCCCCAGAGAGGTTTGTGTGATCACTGATGCGGCTGAGAGAGCCTCAAGATGGCTGTGGCTCAAAAGAGGGGAGCCATGGAGTCATGGTAGCTAGTTAGCCATCTGGACACAAGCTGGGGTCTGATCAGCCCTGGTTGGGTCACCTGGGGGAGGGCGTATGATGTTGAGAGACCCGAAACGCCCTATGATCTCAGGAATACATCACTGATGATGTGTCCAGATAGGCATCAGTAGATGTATGTACACAGTGTGTGTATTGTTTATTCACGTGGGGGTGGTTTATTTCAACTACTGTACTCTTGAATCGCTATTTGATACGGTAGATTTCCTAAACATTAATTTCACTAGTGTGGCTGTATTTCTTTTGTTATTATTACAATTTTTAATGCTAGTGACACTACTTTTTCTACACAGCCCTTTCAGACAACACTAGTGGGACTATAGGGCTGTAGGAAAATAAACTTAATGAAAAATGAATAAATCTCTTTGAAGTTTCAATGGTTGTGTTGTCTTTACAGAAATCAACTGTGGTGGATGGGGTGGAGATCCCTGTGCATCTCATTGGTGATGCTGCCTACCCACTTAAAAAGTGGTTGATGAAAGGATTCACACAGCATCATCAACTCTCAAAGGAACAAGCTCACTACACCAACACCCTGAGCTCAGCAAGAATGGTTGTCGAGAATGCCTTAGGCCGGTTGAAAGGACGCTGGAGATGCCTTATGAAGAGAAATGACATTGACCTTGCTGCAATGTCCAATGTTGTGGCTGCATGTTGTATTTTGCACAATGTATGTGAAATACAGAAAGACAATTTTTTGCCTGAGTGGAACCCTGTGCCAGAGGAGGAGACTGTCCTCCAACCACATGCTGAAATACCAGAAACCGAGAGACTCAACCGTGCCCAGCTCATTCGCAGTACGGTAGCTGCCAATCTGGCTGCTATGTTGGAAAATTAGTGTTGATGGATGTGGTCATGATGCTCCATTGATGCAACAGCGTCTATTGGTGGACATTTTCAGCATGACGTCTCTGAGCCGCTGGTGAAAGAACACTTTGATCCTCTCGTCTTTCATCTATAACTGCTTCAAAAAACAAACTGTTGCAGGAAAAGTGATTAAGATTGCACGACTGTCTGTCTTATGTGTTGTGTTATTTTGACTTCAAGATGGCGCCACGAGACTGGCTGCCTTTCCACCAGCTCCTATTTATTTTGTTCTTCTACTTCCTCTCATAACTTTGCTGCTGTGAAGTGGGAATTTCTCCATTGTGAGACTCTTAAAGGTTTTCTTATAAAAAAAATAAAATTCAACACTCTAAACTCGTCTATTGCTAATTGTAATTTTATTACTCGAGTTACTCTATCACAAAAATTACTAGTTTTTTTTCCGCCTCAAATACTTTGTTTACAAGTGAACAATGGTGGTGTAACCTCCAAGAACTAAACATTTGTGCTTTGTGTCACAGCTTTTTCATTTGGTTTATGTTGAGAGCGCATGAAACCTCGAAATAAATGTCTGAAAATACCTCCAATACAAAAGACATGTTAAATAAGGCACCCAGCGCAATCTACAAGAAGTGTAAAAGTAATGAAAGATGATAAAGTTCTGCTGAAATGTATAAAACTCTTATAGTAAAGTTCTCACTTAAGGAGGCAGCTGTACTGAAGTCATGTTCACATTAAAAAATAATTCAATCTTAAGCAAATATGAATATAGAATCATCCTAAAAATAAAAATACTCTACACAGTAAGAAATGAGTGAACTTTATTACAGTCCCTGATTAATGAGTGGGGAAAAAAAAAGTACTCATCAAAATAATTGATAGCTGCAGCACTAGCTAATTTATTTATGGGAGGGATAAAATTAAGGACAAATAGCATTGTAAGATATGAATAAAAACTTTAATAGCACACAAGCCAAATGCTTACACAGGCAAATATAGAAAAAAACGATAAAAAATATACTTTGTTGTCCCATAGAAAAGTTCAAGGTCTCTGTAGGTCGATCCATGCTTTGCTGGGGTGCTGGAGTAGGAAGGCCCAGTGTGGTAAAATGACTCATAACTGGCATGTGCATCGTACATGGCCTGCCGTGGTTGAGTCTTGTGCAGGTCTGGAGAGCAACATTTTGAAAAGCATCTTCTGATCTTCCCTGGCCTCCCTGTGTTGTCTTTCCAGGCTCTCAAACAACTTTTTGTCCTGTTCCAGAAACAAACGAAATCTTGCATCCTCCCGTTCAGCAGCATCTTTGTCCATCTCTTCCAGTCCTTCCATTGCTGTTGCCCAAATGAACGATGTCTGGTCCAGTCTTGTCCTTTTCTTTCTCGCCGGACGTTTGGTGCCTAGCAATAACAGTAAAAAAGGTAAAAGTCAGACATAGAGGATCACAACATGTTTATGTTTACTCACTAATCGGGCCCTGTCGATGTTGATAACCACAGTTTACAAGAAACTTGGAAATAAGTGAAATAAAATGTAGGATGTAAATTTATTATGAGCTATAAACGTTTTATATTATTAGTTATGGCGAAAGTTAATAATAGTATAGTTTGTCTCCAAACACAACAACATGACTACTCCGGAAGTTCCGCCCATGTAGCTGCTAGCACGATGAGCTAACAATAACAAACTCTGAACAGAAGTTTGCTGAATGAAAAGGCACTACATGGAGCAAAGAAATTCATCAAAAATAGAGAGTTGGTTGAGAAGGAATTTGTGTCACGTCGCACCCGGAGTATTACAACAAGAATAAAAATGACTTCAAACAAAGAAGCTATAATGATGCTAAGAGAAAGCGAAAAAAATGGTCGCTACCGTTTGTGTGATTTGAGGCACATTAGGGCAACGTTTGCCAAATATGTTTCAAGTCTACCCTTCTACTTAGTTTTTCGTGATAATTGTGTAGGGGTGCGATTTCAGCTGTGAACAACATTACTGGATAAATTGGTTAAATGTGTTGCGCCAGCACCTTCACTCTTCAAAGGGCCACCAGTCAATGGAGACTTGAAAATAGACTCCTTCTCCTCCTCTTTGATGTAGTGAGGCTCTTCTTCTCCATCCTTGGTGAGGAGATGCTCTTCCTGCTCCTGTTTGATGTGAGTGTGCTCTTCCTCCTCCTTTTTAATGAGAAGAGGGTCTGGCTCCTCCTTTTCTTGAATGCAGGGGAGCTCTTCATCCTCCACTTCCTCCTTAATGCAGAGGGACTCAGACTCCTGCTGCCCAGGACCAATATTTTCACTGACTTCTTAAAGACACAAGAAGATAAACACAAAATGGTTGATAATGTCACATCTCATGTTTAAACTTTGAATTTGCGCATGGTTGTTTATCCTAGCGCGCCATTGTTTGTGCATCGCAATTTGCTGCTGTTCTCGCCCCAAAAAGTATTAAAAATGTAAAACACCAGAACGAACTGCTGCTTCTTTTTAATTCATAACAGTTAGTGGCGCTATATTGTGGCGCTATATATCAGTTAAATGAAACGCAACAGTAAACAAAACCTCACCCCATTGTAGCTGCCTGCAGGTCTCGGGCCTTTCATCTTCTGTCCTAGCTTGGCTGTCCTCTCCGTCCAACTCCTCTGAACGCGGCCTAGTGTTCTCGTTTTCACTCGCCAGATCCCAGACCTCGTCTTCTAAAGTGCTGGACTTGCTGGACAAAGTGGGAGACGGTGGGGCGGCGGACCTGGCCATGGAGCTGGATATCTTTACCGGGTTTGCCAAAGCCGGGGTTCCAAAAATATCATTGCACTGGCCGTAAAATGGCCAGTTCCGACGACCCATTCCACTCCGGTTATTATTGTCCTTTATGGAGAAGTACATTCTTTTCAAGGCTTTCAGTTTGTTTATAACCTGCCTTGGCGTTCGTTCAAAGCCTCGCTCGTTCAATTTTGCAGCAATATCTTTATAAATTGCTGTGTCTCGCGCGGTCCCAGATACTTGGCGCTGAAGCTCCTCTTCCCCACGGATGAAAAGAAGCTGGCGAGTCTCGTCGTCTCTCCAATGCTGCAACATGTTGACCGATATCGTGCGGATATATGGCGGATTGCTACTAACAGCTTAAGGGGGGCGTGCTATATACGAGGCCGATGGCGCGCGGTTATGACGCATTACGTAGCGTTCTACGTCATCACGTAATCACCGGTCAGCTCCCGTGTCAGACTTTTAAACTGCAAGCGATACGGAGCGGAGGCGATCACTACCCCAACCTCGGTTTTTGCCAAATGGCAAAAACCTCATTAAATGAACTTTTCTATCCTAATTTTACAGGGATGCGCCCGTGTTAAAACAAACAAAAAATTAAGACATTTCAAATTTTCTTGCATCACAATATTTATTCAACAATATACAGATTCTCTCTACATTCCCAACATTTTGTACACTGTATTTACACGATTGAAGTAAGTCTCCACTTAGATTGCCTCAACAGTACAGTGGCTCCTCACACTTGCATCTATTTCATCCAAGTTGATCTTGGATCAAAGTGCATGCCAGCAGGCCTTCTCCTCTCCTCTCCTCTCGCTCTTGGAGGGGGACGTTCACGTGAGAAATGCTGGGATGGTCGCACACCACGTTGGAGGAGGGCGTTTGCCCTATTTGGATTCATCAAATCGGGCATGAGAAGGAGATGGGGGAGGGGGGGATACATGTTGCATAGAATTCTATTCAGACGACAAGAACAGAAAATTTGATGCTGCCAAGTGTTCAAATGCGCCTTTTTTGTTTGTTTAAATAAACTAAACTCCTGAGACTGGGATTTAGAGCAATCTTTTGGCATCCAAAGGAAGAAGAAGAAGAAAAAATCAATCACCTTTTAACTGTCAAGATAGAAAACAAACAACACTGCTTGGCAGATGCAACATTCCAGAAAATTACCTCTTAGAAGAAACTTAAAAACACTGCACTGAGTGTGCAAAAAACAAAAACAAAACATATACATATATATATAGAGAGAGAGAGAGAGAGAGAGAGAGAGAGAGAGAGAGAGAGAGAGAGAGAGAGAAAGTAAAGGTGGATGGATTAAAGTGCATCACAATGATTGAAAACTAAGTTTGTCACACATGCAAAGCTGGAAATGAACTTTGAAATCATTCGGACCAGAATAAAAAATGAAACCTCCAAAGTCGTCCACATCGGCTCGATTAAAACGATGAGTAGTTTAAATTTTTTATGGTAGAGTGAGGGTTTAAAAAAACATGTATTTGAATTCCCATGTTTTCCCAAAAGGAACATTTGTTTTTGAACCTTCAAAGTCGTACAACCCCCAAAAATTTTGCCCAGTCTTTTAGAGTTGGGGCGAAGTTGGTGAAAACGAAACAAAATTATAAAATGCCACTATGTGACAGGATTGCACAGCAAAATCCTCTTTCCATGGCACTTCTCTCGGGTATTCAAAGAAGAGCAGTTTTACTTTATTTTAGTTTTATTATACAGCCATCGCCTTTGCTAAGACTGCTCAAATATATTATTACGGAAAACTGACTTTTTAATGGCTTGCAAACGAGTTTTGTCTACAGTGCCTGCCAGTGCTGATCCCATCAAATGAAACATTTTTACACCAAGAAAGTCTTTGATGGTACTTCTCTGGAACTGAAAATGTGCCATTATGCACTTTCATCCCCACTTGCAGTTTCTCCTCCAATCACATAATCCGCTAGGTTGGATGAAGATCCAGAGCCACTTTCAAGGAACTACACTGTCCAAAACACAAAGTCGAAATGTAAGCAGAGCTGCATTGAGTTTTGCTGTCTGCTCAGATTAACGTTAGTTGATAATCGCCCCCTACTTGATGATGATGTGGCTGCAGTGAGGGTCAGTATTTGTGCTTGGTGATGTGCCCATGTGCCACATAGCGCAGTGCATAATAACTGCTGCCTCTGCTGGTCTGCCTGGGCACTCTCTTTTATTCCCTACTCTTTATTTCTGCGCTCACAAGTAGAAACCACTCTCATCAGTTTTAGTTTCATGATGGCCATATTTTAACTTCCATTATTTCCAATGTGGAAAATCAGCTTTAAACATAATAAGCTAGAAGTGAAAGTGTCTCAGAACTTATCGAGTCGGACTTTGAAGATTCCACTTTAGCATGGATGGACAGTGTGAAACGTAATTGTGGTCGTTCATTTCCTGCAATGCCACATGCACATTTTACAACAAAGAGATAATCACAAATCTTCCAGCCATACCCCGTGAGTCATTTACAGCCAACGAGAAGGTACAATCACCACGTAACCCCGCTTTAAAGACACAGCATGACGACAAGGGCCAAAAAGTGCAGTTATGTACACGATTGGTTGACAGTTGCCCCCCCCCCCCACGAAGAAATAAATCAAAAAATATATATATGAAAATTCTATTCAACTTAAGACAGGCGAGCAAACGAACTTAAGGACAGGATGCGTGTTGGCACAAAAAGATGGTGGGGTGACACTTGGGGGGCTTAGACGAGCATGCGGGCGAGCATCGCTGAAGCTCGGACGGGCTTTGATGTAAAGCGAGCTGACAGCATGAGGAGCCCATTCAAACAATTGCACTTGCAAAAGAAAACCAAAAAAGTAAGACATCTTAAAGGAGCAGTTGAATGGATCCAATTGTTTCCAATGACCCCGAACCGATAGTGGGCGCGTAAATTAACACCTTTGGCCACTATATGAGGAAATGTAGAATAGTTCTAGTAGTATAATAAAATTCACGTGCCCAATGTCCGACGCCATTGGGGTCTTGGTGAATAACGTGATGAGGTAGAGCAAAAATGTTCCACGACAACTTGTTGCATGAACTGACTAGGATGCTGTGAAAGCCTCTCGCCACTAGAAGGAAGACAAACGCCAGCATGAAGAGCTAATGCTCATGACCTATTCAGTTGTTTGTATGCATATACCTGTCTATAATGCTTTACACCCACATACATACATACATATATATATATATACATATATATTTGGTAATAAATAATCTCAGTAGTGATTTCCTCATCTCCAGTTCTAGATATCCCTATTTAGTTCCAGTTTGGGTTGACAGCACAAAGTGCACTCTTGTATACCATTTAACATCAAAAATAACGTGTTGACTTAAACATCCGACCTTCTTTCTTTGGATTGTCCCTTAAAAAAATAATTGAAACACACACACACACACACACACACACACACACACACACACACACACACACACACACACACACACACACACACACACACACATTCGTGATTTAAAAAAAAACAAAAAACAGCACTTAATGGGAAAGATTTAGCTAGTGAGAGCAATTGCACGTGAGCCCAGGAATGACGGGGCGGGAAAGAGGAAGACGAAGCTTACAAACGCCTTCCGCGGTGGAATTATTGCTGAGTGAATGTCGACTCAAACTAAAGGTGAAATGTCATTGAACCACTGTACGTTGCCGGGAATCTGGCCAAGACGTTCCCCTTTTAGGAGCCGGAGGAATTACCTCTTCATCATGATTGAAGATGTACGGACAGACACATCCACATGCATGCAGTGGATATAAAAAGTCGACACTCCGCGGTTAAAATGCTCGGTTTTTGTGACGAAAAGAAATAAGACAGATAAATATTGGAACATTAAAGCCATTAATGTGGCTTCAAACTTTTAAAACTCAGTTGAATTTTATTACTAATGTTTGAGAGAGTGAGTAAAAATAATTGGGTGGCAAAAGTGTGCACACCCTAGAAGTGGATATGTGGCATTGTTCAGAATCAACGAATCACACGATTACAGTGCTACTGATTAACTCCAAATTATGCTTAGATGTTCTAGTAGGCTTTTCCTGACATTTGTGTAGTAGTAATATTAAAGCACAACCAATGGTCCGCCGGTAGGCTTCCAGAGCATCAGAATAACTTTAAGCGTTCAAAAGGTACCAGTTAGGAGAAGGGAACAAAACAAATCCCAACAACCATGGTAAAGGCAATTACCACCACTTAAGAGAAATTTGGCACAGCTGTAACACGATCAAGAAACGGACATCCCTCCAAATTTGATGAAAAGACAAGAAAAAAAAAAGAAAGAACCAAAGAAAGGATGAAAAACTGGTCAGGGAGACTGCCACAAGGTCAGCAGCAACTTTGGATGAGCTACAGGAATTTCTGCCAAGTTGTGGTTGCTTTTAAGTATGTGACAACAATCTTCCATCTTTTTCAGGTCGAGGCTATGTGGTAGGATGGCAGATGAAAGCCTTATTTTACAAAGAGAAAAGAAAAAGACACTTGGAATCTCGAAAGGGCATTTTGGAAAATGTTTTGGGCCAACGAAACCAATGTTTTATGTCTTACCTTTGGCACAAACAACACAGCTCATCATCAAAACAACAACATACCTGCAGTGCAGTATGTTGCGTCAGCAATAATGTGTGGAGGCTTTTTTTTGTCTGCAGCAAATGAGGCCTTCGTCAAGTTGGAGGGAATTATGAACATTGCCAAATAGCAGTCAGTGTTAGCGCAAACCCTTCTGGCTTCTGCTAGAAAGAAAAAGAATACCAGGGAAAGCCTATTAAAACATCCGAACTTCCTACGGGGTTATTCAGAAGCACTTTGAATAGTGCGGTGTGTGTGTTAACTCCCGTTTAACATGAATTTGAATGTGACTGGTCAATTCTGAACACATCATATTCCCAGCTACAAGAGGGTGTGCATCCTTTTGCATCCACATGATCTAATCTTGTTTGTTTTTACATCTCGTTTCATTTTTGTTCTCAACTGAGTTGTATAAATGGTGGTAAACGTTTGGAAATATTTATCTTGGTCTCATTTTTTTTTTTTATGACAAAAATCTAACATGTGAACGAGGGTGTGCAGACATTTGTTGTATCCACGATACACGTTAAACCTGTGATATGATCTGCATGTTGAAGCTGGGGGAGCGGGACTGCTTGCTGAGGGGGGCCCCAGGGGACAGAAGGGGGTCATCCGGCCTGATCATGTGACCCTCCTGCAGGCTGACAGTGGAATGGCGGTGGGAGCCGCCGGCGGGACGCCCACCGGCTTCGGTCGAGCCTCCGCCGCCGCCCTCTTGTTCCCTTGTGCCACCGTTCAGGCTGAAGGCCATGCAGTCAAAAGACTTACTGGAGGATGTGCTGCCAGTCCGTACCAGCGGTGGTCCGGAGGGAAAGCTCAGGTGCTTCTTGATGGGACTCAGCTGGATGGCGTCGAGTCGGATGCTGGCCGGGGGCGACTGCTTCCTCTGGTGCTGGCGCTTGACTTCCGCAGCCGCGTCGACCTGCTTCGCCACCTCGGGCCTATCTCGCTCCTTGTCCCGGGACAGTCGGGCCGCGATGGCTTTCTTGATGCTGCTGCCGCCGCTGCTTAGGCTGCCGGCCCTCGGACCACCGCCGCCCGCCCTGGTGCCGCTGGGCTGGCTGCTGTTGGATGCCCCGGAGGAGAAACCCTCATCTGGGTCGTTCGCGTTGAAGGAATCCTCACCGGCGCTCATACCGTCTGCATCTAGGTTGATCACATTCATTTTTTTAAAGTGTTAAAATAACAACATAACAACATAAAATGGCATGTTAAGTGTAGCTCAGACCATACAGCATCATTAGTTCCCTAACAAATGGAAGAATAATTCTAGACAGAATATATTGACCTTGAGCCAAGGCCTGTGAGTTACACAGTACCGCGCGAAAGTCTTAGGCCACAGTTTGAATTGTTTTGTTTGAGCTATGATGACCACAAACAAATATAGGTTCACATGCCATTTTTATCTCTATGTGGTTGATCAACTATGTTGTTATTGTTTTGCAGCTTTTATGTTCATATATTTTCTGAAGGGCGCACGTACAGTATGCCCCACTAATAACAAGGCTAACTTTCGTATGTTTAGGTATTTTTAGCTCTTTTAATGCCAACGACTTGAATTGTCTTTGAGAATCAAAATACAGTGCCGAGGACGAATGGTTGTTCGTCTATGTGTGCCCTGCGATTGGTTGGCAACGAGTTGGGGGTGTACCCCGCCTACTGCCCGAAGACAGCTGGGATAGGCTCCAGCACGCCCGCGACCCTCGTGAGGATAAGCAAATTAGAAAATAGACAGATGGGTGGGTGGAAGTCAATATTCTGTGGGAAAAATCGGTCAAAACGCTCTAAAATGAGCTGCCACTCAAAGGGGGTGATCAGTGCAAATGGATCATATTGAATGAGTTAATTTAAATAACTGCTGTGAAAAGAGTCAGGATGAACATTTGAGGGGGCTTAAAGACTTTCGCCTGGTGCTGCATTTAACCCAAAAGTTATTTGTTTATAATTGTGCGGTAGGTGATAGTTGAGTAACTTAATACCAGGCTCAGCATTCATGTCACAAACATCATCATTTTCTGGTTAGAGGGGATAAACAAATACATCGATAAATAAAAGACAAAAAAAATGTTCAAGAAAGACAGCCGTTGGTCTCCATCATGCACTGTTGGGACAAGCAAGGTAAACAGACGGAGCAGAAAGAAGGGTCGTATTCACATGCAAAGAACACGAGGTTGGGGGAAGACGCATGCTCTCCAGCCCAATCCATCATTTATTCCTGCTGCGGCACCGCTTAGTCACGTGACTGGCCAGCCCAGTCCAGCCTGCTAATCTGCGGAGAGTGCCGAGGCCGCTCCAAACGCCTCATAAGATTGATGGCACGCCACTTTGTGCTGACAAGTCCATGAGGCAACTGGGCCAGGAACGGCATCGGTTAGCCCTCTGACACATTCAACATGGACGCTTGAAATGTGTCCAAGACGGATAAGGATATCGCTCAAAAGTAAAGATGCACAACTAAAGCAATCAATCACTCAATGCAACATTAGCACCATAGATTCGTAATTCAAGATATTTTTATGTGTTCAATGCGAATGCTCATGTTCCAGCACATGGACCAAAAGATGCATAAAATTAAGATTAGATGGCATTGGTATGGAAGAACTAGAACACAGTGTGAGAGTCTACGATGTAAACAGTCTTCCTGGAAGACTGTAAGATGTAGCTACAAGGTGATATCGGTCTTTTATTGAATTCCATTATATTGTGCAAAGGATCAGAATGTTTTGGCGGGCACTTGGTTCAATTCTAAATGAGTGACACCTAACCGGAGCATTTAAAGCAACGTAAATTAAAAACCCTGCTGCGGTACCGATGGAATCTTTCTTTTACAGCGGCAAATTGATGCACAGGGTCAATTATTTGTGTCACAATAGCAGCTTAAAATCAATTTCCTCAACAGACTGTATGAAATGGATAAAATCTTGACACATGGTCCATTATTGTACAGCAGGCATGTCCAGCTCCGGGCCTGGAGGGCCACTGTCCTGTCTGTTTTCCATCTCTCCCGGCTGCAACACACCTGATTCAGATGAGCAGTTCCTCAGCCAGCTCTGAAGCAGCATTAGAACGATCCTGATGATTTGAATCAGGTGCGTTGCTCCTTGGAGAGCTGGAAAACAGGCAGGACAGCGGCCCTTGAGGACCGACTTTGGACACCCCTGTTGTACAGCGTATAGATGATAACTGGACATACTGCAGAAATTGTCATTTGCGTAAATCAGTCATAGAAGCAAATATTTTTCAACACCTCCGTCAAAATAAACATGACTTTTCGCCCGCTTGAGCCAAACACAACATTGTGAATTACATAGACCATGATAGCTTGCGCCACTTTGCCAATAGGAGCACATCACAATAAAATGACTGGCTCATCCTATTTCTTCATCGCGGCCATTATGTACAAAAACACAATTGCGTGCTTTTTTCCCCCAGTGATTTTTTTTTCTTCACAAACGTTTTTAGACAGTATCGTGAGCTTTTTTTTTTTTTTTTTTTTTTTTTAATATCGCCAACTCACCATAACCTCGTGATAATTATTGTATAGTTCCTTTTCATATCGTGAGAATATCGTATTGTGATGTTTGGATATCGTTACATCCCCCAGGGTCAACACATGTATATGACACGAGCATGCAATCGAGTTCACAACAAACAAGATCCTTCTTCCCAGTCCTCTCCGTTGGAAGAGCTGCAGAAAGAACTTTAAAGGAAAAGGTCATGCAGAGGCAACTGAACAGTTCCTTCTGACCTTCATTCATGCCGTAGGTTCAATATCCAAAGAGCACACAAAGATATAGAGACTTTCAACAAGGACAAAATGGGCTGGATGGTGGACCCTAGCAATTAGTGGATCTGTATTGCTGTGCTTGACATTTTGTTAATACCAACCGAATCATTCCGCTTGACCTTGTCAAGTATGATGTTGGGTATCTGGAGGGAATCTGGAAAGCTTGCTAAAGTACAGGCATGCATGACAGAAGGCTCGTTCCCACTCACTGAGCTGAGGGAATAATGTGACATGGCAGAAGGCTGCGCTGGCAGTCACTAACGCTGCTGGACTGCAAAACAGAATGGAGAGTCGCTTGTATGAATGTGTGGGGCCGAGCGTGAGCGAAAAAGCGGCGCAATGAACCGCGGCGTGGAAACGGGAGGTCAGGTGGTCCGCCAGTCATCCAAAACGGATCTACTTGATCTGCTTATAAGGTTGAGAAAGACAGCCGCTATGACTCAGTGAGTGACAAGGGCCAAAGTAAGAATGTACTCGTGGGAAGTAGACTGAGAGGTTTTGACAGGCCCATGCAACAAGGCCACTGGCCTCACTTCCTTCCAAACCAAAATTGGCATCTCTTCCACTTTTTTTGGGGGCAAAGAGCAGCGGGCTGTTAGGTGCGGGCGAGTTAATGCCGTGTTTCCACCAAGCAGTACAGTTCAGTTTAGCATTTTTTTTCCCTCAAAAATTTCAAAATAAAAACCTAAAATTACTAAGCTTTTGGGGGTTTGACCTCTAATTTAAAAATTTTTCGATCGATTCAAACAATTCCAACTTTGAATCGTTCAGGTCCAAATAGCTGGTCAGGGCAAGGCCGACTCACCACAAAGCCTTCACAAATGCGGCTTTCAGACTAGCAACAGTCAGCAGTCCCATTCAAAATTTTCCTGTGAATTTTCTACTTTTATTCATTACACAGGAAATATTTTTTAATTGGGCAATGAATCAGAATTTTTTTTTCCTGCCAATTAAAAATTGGCATTGACCTGCAAAAATTCATATGGGTCGGGCCCTAAACATCATACTTTAACAAAACAAACAGTAGAACCAGTTGAAGACTCCAATCAAGAGCAAATAAAATCAACGAAAAATCTGGAGCACTGTCGTACGACTGACTGGCAACCAGTCCAGGCTGTTCTAACCCTTGCCCAAAGTCATCTCGGATACACTCCAGCTAAACCCCGACCCTAATGAGAAGAAGCACACATCTAAAGATGTGAGCCGACGAAAACGGAAATACATGTTAACATTAGCTGCAGTTTTATACGCCACTGTTTCCAATCCATTTTCTTGCTGCCCTGAGTCTCCACTTGAATGACATACATGCAACCAACAGCCACATGCTGGGATGCTGTGAGCCCTCCGGGACCGTATTAGACTTTTGTTGTGGAAAAGTCTGGGATGTCTAAAAGTAATTCAGTTATTTTGACCGACTTTTGAATCATTTTTTTGAAAAATGTTTACTGAACCGAAATGTGCTGGCTTCGTGAAAACGGAGCGGCAGGATACTATGGAGGAATGCAGAGGCAGCAAAGAGAAATCCCGCAAAGCTGAAGAAGGGGAGGAAAGAGGGTGAGTTTTGGGTGGTTGTTGCTCACGGTGTCCGCCCCTGTGCCCTACCCTCGAGTGTGATGGGGGGAATGATGTTGCTGCTGTGACGGTGGAGGCTGTGAGGGCCCCCATCTCTCTGCTCATTGGCTGATGGGTGTTGGGCGGGATTAGGACGAGCGACGGTGACACTCAACTCTGCATCGCTCGAGTAGTCAAAACAATCTGGGAGTCAACAAGACAAACGTGGTTCTTTAGTGGCAGCGGGCCTCAGCCACCTCTTGTCTCATCAATTTACGAGAGTCTACAAAAATAAAAGTAAAAACTACAATTCTAAAAAGCGACCGACAACTGGCCTCCTCCGGTGATGAAGGCGGAGGAATCTGCAAGCACCATTTTGTCATGACTTTCTTACAGAAGAGGCGGGTGAAGAAAGAATACGAAGCAGTGGGACATAAACTACAATGATGACAACTACAGAAAGTGACAGGAGACACCATTTTGCACAGTGCTAATGGTGTGACAGGATTCTTTCTCACTGCTGGGAGGACCAAAATAAAATGACACAAATCATTTTCTCACCTAAAAGCTCCTTCTTGTGGCCTTTCACACATTGGAAAACATATCAGGTCATCATAAATATCTGCATTACTTTCAAATTGTGATAAAATGATGACATAATTGGTCACTGATGAGGGTGTTGTATATTCCCGGAGCCTTACCCTCTCTCTTCCAGCGGTGGCGTCGGATAGAGGCGGTGGTGATGGCGGAGATGGAGATGCGGCTAATGGTGGGTGTCACTTCCACCTGCAGAACTTTGCGCCCCTGCGGTTCGTTCGGGGCGCTGTCTGGCAGTGAGTTCTTCATGGCATTGCCCAGCTGCGTTTTGACACATAACGCAAAGTGACATGAACTTTGCAGCCAAATGAACATGACACATTTAACCTGTTACTTACCAGGAGAGGCTGGGAGTAAAGCTCCAGCTGGGCTCTGTACAGTATGTCCTCTAAAGCTTCTCGCCCCATCTCCCACTCTCCATTATATCTACAAGAACGACAGACACATGACAGAGTCAATGTCAAAGACAACGTGTCCTGTGACAAAAGCCCTTGATGTTCGAATCACACTGTCGCTCATTTAGTTTTACTGCAGCTCAAACTGACAAAGGGAGACCCTTGTCAAATCGACTATGATATGCAGCCAGGAAGTGCACAGCATACATAGGCGCGTCACTATTGTTTGGAGTATCGAGGATAAGTAGGTCAATCCAATACAAATCATTTATCGTAGATAGATTCACTACACACTTTAATATTTCATTATTATTATTTGGTGGTTGGGCGAAAAAAAGACAGCTGAGTGAATCATGTTTTTTTTTTCCCCCTGAACATATTTAAAGTGATGTTCTGAACTCTATGCCACTGGAGGGATGACAAGGAGTTGTGCCATAACCGAGGTCTTTGTGGTCGTTGTCAGAGATGACATTGCGCTGTGCTTCTTCAGACAGCAAACGATTGAGTCTGAATCATCAGCATCTCTGTTGGTTGGAGCCAAGTAATGCACTCTATTTTGCCTCATTTGCTTCTATAAAATGAATTCTTATGAGTTCATTGATTTGATTATCCCTAAAGGACACGAATATTTTCGAACCTGATAAGCGTGACTACATGAAGATATTGGACAAATCATTGAAGATTGTGTTCCCTTTATCCTCAAGGTGGGAGAAAAACAGTAATTTATGTGGCACTGAATCATTTGGTGGATAGATATTAACCTAAATCCTAGCGTGTCTACCTCTGCCACGGCCAAGGTCTTTGCATGTAGTGTGAAGCTTCACGTGGCTGCTTGAGCCAAGGATACACGTGAAAGTAGGGCATGCAAATGAGGTGGCCAGGATGACTTAAAAAAAAAAAAATGACAATATTTGATCTCTCTTCATACATACAGTATGTAGTCTATGTCTGACAAATCTCCAGATTGCTGCCATGCCTCCTGGGGTGAAAAATTAAGCTGACAGTAGATTGGTCACACACAGCTTGAGGCAATAATAACTGCACGTTTTATTCCGCTTTCAATTTTATATTTTCAAGACGTCTGTCTCATACCAGATGCTCTGGGTTCAGATCTCAGCTCGGGCCCTGTGTGGAATTTGCACGTTTTTCCCCTGCGTGGGTGAAGAGTCAACATTCCCCGCAGGTGTGAATGTGAATGAATATTTGCCCTTCGATTGATAGAAGACCATTCCATGGTGTTGAGTTGTAGACCACCTCTCACCAGCTGAGAGAGGGTCCAGTTCACCCATGATCCTAATAATGACAAACTGTCTCGAAAATGGATAGATGGAAATTTGTGGGCCCGTTAAGGGATAACAATATGTTCAATAATGTGGTTGCATCTTATAATTTGTTTAGGACTGCAGTACATCATAATGAAATCTGATCCTAATATTTTGGTCCCCCATGCAACTAAAAGAGTAAAGACACTAGATTGTTAGTTTAATACGGTACCTATCTGTGATATTCACTAAAAACTGACCAATATCTTTCGGGAGAATTGTGGCTATAGCTCTTGTAATCGATTGCACAAGTGTACCTAATGAAGTGGTCATCGGGCGTAGACGGCAATTGGATGCGACACTTACATGGCATGATAAACAGCAGTCAGCATCTGCACCATGAACTCAGGATCCAAAAGCACGCGGTTGCACGGCTCCCGCCAGAGTTTCTGCTGCTGCCGTGGGAAACCGCATACACACAACCTGAGGATGGCACACACACGTTGACAGCAGTCCTGAGCATTAAGTGCTCTCCGGGAGGCTTGACTTGAGGTCTGAGCATTGTTCTGGCGCGCTGCAATCTTCACAGTCAAACGCTGCTGTCCGTCTTACGAAATAGTGTGCAGACTGCACTGGCGCCGTTACTGGCGAAAGCCTTAGAGCACAACGACTCATGTTATGAATCACATATTGATCCTCACTGACTGCAAAACAATGCTGAAATTCAAGAGTAAAATTTCTGAAGAAACTGTGTGACGATGAAGCCAAGATGAAATGTCAAGAAATTAATGAATTTCGTTATAAAGCAGATGAAAACGTCACAACATATAGCAGTCCCCCCGCACAGCCAAACAACCACTCTCGGAGTCCTCAAACTTTTAGGCTCGAGTTAGAAAATTTTCTAAGCAACCTCCACAAATCTTTATGCCAATTAGACCTGACTATCATGTGGACACCTGTCGGTAAAAGTCATGTTACTATAACAATCACTTTTTACAGGAGAAAGTTGGAAAAAAAAATCAAATAGTCGTATCGTTTGAAGAAAAAAAAAACTCACAATAGAGATTTGCGATCTTACGAAAATAAAGTCATATTATTACAAGATAGCATTGGGTTGTAGTTTAAAACGGGAAAAGAAATCATTAAAAACTAAACCTTTTGTGCTCCTAAAAAAGGGACTTTATTGCTGTAATAACTAATGGTATTTTTTTTTTAGAAATACAGCACTTTATTCATTCAGGGAGATTTATATTAGGATGCATCACAACCATATCAGAACTTTGAATTTGGTAGGGTGGCAAAGGTCCATTATGTTTCTTTTACTGGTGCATCAGTGATAAAATAGTTATGCCTTTTCTTTTTTTAATAATAAAACAATCTATGGCAAATTATTTTCGGGCCCCCCCAGCAGTGGTTAGTAGCATCCCAGCGATCAGCTGTAAAATGCGAATATTCCCCCGTAAGACGTGAATTTCATATGGCATGACATCATTGTTGGAAAAAACCCAAAACGATAAATGTTTCAGCCGAGAAAAGTAATAGCCCACCAGTCCCAAAGAGACTGTACATTAAGTTGATACTGCAATAAAAAAACAACAACAACAAGCACAATAATAATAAAAATAAAGCCGTTTGCTACAAATATGAGGCAGCAGCGGAGAATGAAATCAAGGTTGCATATATTTATGTTAAAGATATTTCCCTATGTATTTTATGTCTGTGCGGGCATTCCTCACCGTGAGCTCATTCTGCAGACTGACTGATAGGAGGACAATGGCATGTAGACCACAGCGGAGTTGTAGCACAGCATGAGGAAACACAGCACCTCAAACCTGCAAATGCACATGAATGTCACAATGATAGTTTAGAATCATATTGCAGTATTTGTAAAACTAAAAAAAAAAAAAAAAACGGAGCCATGTTTTTACATTCTGCCAGATTTTTAGTGGAGTGTTTTACACTGCCCGTAAAAGTCAGCATTCTTCCACCATTGAGTGTGTGCACATCCGTATCATTGCAGAAGGTCCTCAGAACTCCAGAGGAAGCGCTATAATCGAGCGTGTGCGGTGGAGTCAAACGACTGGCTATGTATCATCACAGCGAAGCGTCAAACCTTGAGGGGGCTTGGAGTTTCTTGCCATAAACAATATTTCAGTCTGACAAATGGATTTTTTTTCACATGCGCTCAAAGGAAAGCGAAGTCTTGATAAAGTCTGCTGATCACAATGCCCGTTGGGAGCAACAGGCGTACCTGTTCTGCGCCGTGAAGGTCTCTCTCTGAGGGTGGAGGCCGCTGTACACCACTCGGATCAGGTCATGTTGACACAAAGCACCCTCGGTCAAGGCCATGGAGCCCAAGCTTGAAGGCTATACATACAGAAAACACAAATGCACGATGACTGTATAAGTTCAGTGGCACTGACACAACAAAGTGGTGCTTCAAATCTGTAACACTTTACACGAGGTCACATTTGAGCACATTTCAACCGTTTCTTCTCTCTTTCAGGCAGAAACCAAAAAAGGTGCACATTTATCTGGGGAACAACTGTGGTCGAGTGGTTGGCACAAATGCCTCACAGTTCTGAGGAACAGGCTTCAAAACTCTGCTCCAGCTTCCTATCTAGCATTTGCCTGTGCTTGCGTGACTTTTTTTCATGGTAGTCCACTACCTCCCACATTTCAAAATCTGGAAAAGAAGGGGTGATATAACCCAAACCATCCATGCAATAATCAATAGGATAATCACTTCTTAAAATATTCATTGGCAACAGCCCTAAAATTGACTGAAGTAACGGGTCGGTCCATTTTTTTTAATGTAATTTGGGTTATTTCTCACCCAACGGTATTTAAGAGTTTATTGTACTTTCTTTTCAGTCTATTTTTATTGCATGCCCTCGTAGCTTTATTACAATTATATTACCTGAAATCATGTAACAATCTTTTACAAAACCGTATTAAATTTTGGGGGATTATTATTACCGTCTATGTTATACATTGCACAAGTAAGGAAAAGAAAAAGAAGTCTTGAGTGCACCTTTCACTGACAATGGCAATCAAATCCATTTTCATTCTGATAACTCAGCGGAAGCTAATTAGAACAAGAAAAGATTGTTATCGTCGCTGGGCCTCTTCATTGTGATGAAGCCCACAGTTAACATCACCCCTAAATTATAGTGATTTTTCTCCTCTTAAGGACCTTGCACGCAATGAGGGGAGGATGGATTAATTTAAGGAGAGACTCAAGGGCATGCTAATGCCAGCTAGGTTTGCTTTATTCTCTCAGCATGCATGCTCAAGCCTCTCAAGCTTGCTATTACATTTATAAATCGCCTTGAGCCCGCGCCGCCCTCATCATCTCGTATGAATATCATCAAGTCTTGGAGCAGGTGGAAATGAACTCCTCTCCCCCGTGTGCTCTTTTCCAGGGTGTCATCTTACTAACCTACGTTAATGAATGACTGTGCTTAGCAGACAGGTAGAGCTGCAAGGGAAGGTTGGGGTGAATCATCAGAGATGCCTCATTGCAAGTGCAAACATTTCGGTACCATCCTAAATGAACACTTTGTTTTAGATCTTTAAATAGAAGAGGACAAATAAAGAAATCTGAGCGGCGGGCAGGGTCGTTCTCACCTCATGGTATATCGAAGGTTTGGATAACGACGGGATAGTGAAGGAAAGCAGCTTGCTGTTGCCATCTTTGTCCACAATCTCCTGGTCAACGGAAAAGAAGACAGAGAGGCCATGTCATGAAAGCTACGGAGCATTTCTTTGAACAAGCTGGTCCCTAATGTTCTGTCGCAGTAGTAAGTCTTCACAACTTAATCAGCACCAATAGACTGCTGCAGGGCTGAAGTGAAGCTCTGTGCTACACAGAATCGGTGACTCACAAACACCGGAATAAGTGAATTACCACCATGGCAAAATGTCAAACAAGCAGGTTGGGACAAAACATCAATATCACATACTTCAGTTATTTAAATGCATTCTTAATTTTCAAAACATCTGCAATCATCATGAGTGGATTTACTTTAACGCATAATCATATTACGATTAGGAACCAACTCGATAATATAGTTGGTGTCAAAATTGAACAGTAACTCCCCAAGACACAATCTCAATCACAATGATGATGTCTGCATTGAGACATATGAAGAGCAGCATGTTTTGAATTTTTCATCACGTGTAGACATTTGCTATTCATCTTTCGCTTGTAAACCAGATGAAGAGGATTACAAGCGTTGTCTCTCACGATTTATCAAAGCACTTGTTTCTCGGGGCTCTCAGCACGTGAAGACCGATAAGAACACCGTTATGATTGCATCATCAGATCCGCGCTTTTCAAGGCGTAAAGAGGAATTCAGGGGCGGTGAAGCCTCTTGAGAATGGAACGCAAGCTAAATTAAACACATTGTAGCGATGTTTCAGGGTAAAATTGATTCATGTTACTTTTTACAGGAAAAGCAGACAAGATTCTGGGGCAAGCAGAAAATCATCAAAATCAATCAGTTAATGAGGAAAGATTTTCAAAGGATTTTAGGACTGCTCTAATCTCAAGAGAGGAACCTCAGTAGCTCGAGTAAAACCACTGCCGATTCCTCAAATGAGTCATAATCTATATTTTAGTAGACTGTGATGTCAAACGGCTTAAAACGCATCATTCACTCCTCCTGACACTGTTCGTCAGGCGTTGCCTTATTGGCTTGGGCTTGTGTGTGGCACTACTAAGAAGCAAGCTGTTTATCACAGCCGAGGCGGGTGGTATGTGCGTGTGAGGCAAACTGCATGTGTGTGGAATGAGAGGAATAAATTATGCATGAATATACTTTTAGCAGCATCGGCTGAAATGGAGTGCTATCTATTGACGTGCCTCTCTCTTCGCACATTTTCAAGATGAGCTTTCCTGGTGATGCAATCTCACCGCGGTCCATATGCTCGAGTTTTCCCAGTGGGTTGTCTTTCAGCTCATTGAAAATGGTGCACCTGTCTGACAATATAATGACTTGTGATGCCACTTGGAATTTTCCGCATTAAATCACTATCCATTCAGCTTCTATCCTCCATTAAGTACACAAAAACAATTGTTGAGTGACATTCCACATTTGGGGTCAATTGTAAAAGTGCATAGTGGGGATTGCTCTTCAATAATGTGAGTCAAGTCAGGGTAGAGACAAAGCATCATGTATCACCTGATCCAAATGCTACCACCAGCTGAGAACCTGTAGATCACATGATACTTGAAAAGTGATGCTGGTGAGCAAGTGGCCTAGTTGACACTGATCAGTGCAGCCACTGCCTGTCTTGTGAAACAACAGGAGGGGAACGTTTGTGTTTCTCCTGCCGATTTGTGAAATCCGTACATCCATTTTCTAATGCGCTTATCCTCACAAGGGTCACGGGCGAGCCTATCCCAGCTGTCTTTGGGCATCAGGTGGGGTACATCCTGAATTGGTTCTCAGCCAATCACAGGGCACACAGAGACAAAAAACAAAAAACATTCGCGCTCACAATCACACCAAGGGACAATTTGGAGTGCTCCATTGATCTGCCACACGCATTTTTGGCATGTAGGAGGAAACCCGGAGAAAACCCATGCAGGCACGGGGAGAACATGCAAACTCCACACAGGAAGGCCAGAGCCGCACTCGACCTCTGCACTGTGAGTCCAGCGTGCTAATGAGTCGACCACCGTGCTGCCCCGAATTGTGAAATTCTCAGTTTAATATTTTTTTCCCGTACGACTTTTTCCTTCATTTTCCAATCTTTCACAAAACAGATGTAAATTCTCTCTTGATCAAATCAAAGGACAGCAGTTTGTCCAGCATCAAATCACATTCAAGAACCCATACCATACCACTGTGATTGGAATTGTAGGAAGGATCAACATAAACCCTGAAAAACAACATACTGAAGAATGGAAACAAGGCTTAGGGATCCACATACTGTATATACTGATAGAGGAAAAGTGACACCCACCAGGTTGTAGATGCCCAGGAGGAGGGCCTCAATGCAGCCATTGCTCTGACGATCTCTGCTGGCTGTGACTCGAAGATAGACCCACACCAGCTCGGGCAGAAACTGCATTGTGAAACGCCGCAGGCGGTCCTCGGAGCTGCGGTACAGCTCGAACAGCTGGTGGCAGACGGGCTCCAACAGCTGGATGGATCAAAAGGGACACGCGTAAGACCATACGAATCTGTGTTTATGGCGAGCACGCACTGGTCGTTCTCTTTTCCGATTTGAGCATCATAGCCTTCTAACATGGATGCGCCCTCTATTCACATAACCAAGCGAGGCTTAGAGGCAAAATCTAGTCCATAATGGGTGGTATGGAGGAGTAAGGGAGTAAATCACCAGAATGAAAGTCAGGCAAGATGCTCTTAAAAGAGGCAGCTAGTGTGCTGCTCTTTGGACCTTTTAGTGGTGATTAACTCAAGAGTCTAAAGAGCACTCTTAGGCACAGGTACATAACAACTTCAGCCCAACAGGTCATTGACACCAATCCATTTCTTATACATACATGGGTGCACATGTCTTCTTTCTGCTGGATCACTAATGGGATTGCACAGGCAGGGATGAGATTTGAAATTAATTTCAATCTGCGGTTGGTTGATATCAAATTTGACGATGAAGGAGCAGCGAGAAAAAGACTGCCAAGATAATTGGATTCTCCCACTGAATCACGAGTGTAAAATTAGAGTTCCATATCACCGAGTGCCTCTGGCCTTTCATCAAAGATTGTCTTCGGGTCACAAAAGAAAATATAGAAGGTGAATTTGCTGGTACAGAAAGCACAGAATATTTGATTGTTTTCATTCATTCCATCAGAGTCAATTGCTTGTGATATGGCCTAAATGTTCACCATTGAAGTAGAAAAGCTGTCCACGCCCCTCTGTCCTGGCTGCTCAGTGCAACATTGCGAAGAGCAAATTGAAAGTACTGTAAATGGTAATATTACCATAACCAAGTAATCTAGTAGCCAAATAAAACTTCCGTTCTATATTCGTCAACATATCCACCATGCCAAAAGTTGGGCAGTGAGTACAATTTTGAACTTCTTTTTGCACTTGTGTGCCAATTAAGAATGTTACAATGGTACTTAAAAACTTAAAACATTGTCAGTGCAGGTGACACAAACTATATAATGGTGACCAACCCTGGAAAATATTTTTTTTCTTCAGTATTTCCTATGGGAATTACTGCTACAAAATATGACGACATTGAAAGTAAACTCATTTTGCGTCACTTTTGGTCCACTTCCTATTGTGTTACAACGCGTGCGTTTTCGATTCCATGTCACCTCATTGCCGGGATCCTGGATGACCCTGTACAGCGCTGGTACCAAGGATTTCTTCAAATGAAGGCTGCCGGCATAACTTGAGAGGTGGGTTTCTGGTAAGGACTGGATAAAAGTAGAGAAAACAGTGTCCGTTTGGCTGACTGATGACATTTACTTGGGTGCATCCATTCATGATCCGAACCGCTTACGCTCACTCACGAGGGCCGCGGGCATGCTGGAAGACTAACACATTAATTTCTTAAAATACCAGCTAGTGTTATTTTAGACACAAGAAGACAGCCGCATTTCATCATTGACAAACACCTAAAGCAGCATTTAGTCAGTAAGAATCCTCTGTGTCAATCAAGAAGCCGTTCGGATCCATGAAGTCAAATCAGTTAAGCATTTCATATTCTTTTGCCCTTTTGAGGTAAGGCTAAATGACGGCAATGTCAAAAATATTCTGGGAAATGTGAAGAAATTGGGGACAGGGTGAGGGAAATGGATCCACTCGAGAAAAGGGAGTTCTTGACATCAAATTAGAAGAGGCAGATAGAACCTCAGAGAGCAGCCTTTTGCATTATCAAAGAACAGGGTGCTGCTCCTCACCACTCTCACACAATGAGTCATGCCTTCTATTTAGAATTTCTTTGCATTTTCATGCTGTTGTAATCGGGGCCACAATGGCTCTCTCTTTCTTTCATTATACGGAATGCTGAGTTTTAAACTGTACATGGATGTTTTCACTTTTGTACATGTTCATGACTTTCTATGTCCAAAATATACTTGACCAAACCTTGAAACCGATATCTTTTGCTGAAGGTACATACAATGTGTGAGTGCCTTTGTCTGTGCATCTGAGCATGTGTACTAAAAACATTGTATTTCACCCTACCTGATGCCAATTACTGTATATAAATAAATAAATAAAAATCCAGAGACGTCTAAGGTAACCTATCAATGAATAGTTGTCAATTTGAATCATCAAATGAAGTGGCATTACCTTGAATTCTGAGAGCCATTCTTCAACAACTCCGCGCTCTGAACCCAGCATCTTCCTCAGAGACACACCTCAGCTGCCTGGTGCAAACAAACAGAGGAACACATAGTCATAAAATAATATGTCTGATTCACGCTGTCAAAAATGAAGGAAAGTAATAAAACAATGTAACATGTCAAAATATTGTTGGCTGTATGTAAATTCAAATTCTATGTCCATTTTTGGCTCCAACTTTTCTAAATGAGAGGCGCATATTACGAAACTTTCTTGTCCCCTCATATTTAATTTCTTATGACATATCACAATAAAAGAGAAGAGAGAGAGTGACTCATTGCATGGCGCTGACCACACTGTTACGTAATGAGCTACGATGCTGACCTCACCTGTCACCATGCATGAACGAATAACAACCATCACCACAGCATCCATATGCCTTACGGCGGCCAGTCTTCGGCTTCCCAAATTTCATTGTCGTGCCGTGGCATGCAAATCAAACATGCGTGCACAACTGTAACTCCCGATATTTACATAATCAAGATGCATTAAGCAAATCATATGTCCTCTGTTTCGCTCAAGTAGCATCCGTGAGCGCCTATTTGGGCGGCCTTCATTAGTATCAAATGTAACATGAAGCTATTTGTATTCTGGCGTGTTAAATACTGTTATTACAATACGCATCAAGTTACAGTGGAGCTTAAAACAAAATTGAAGGAAATTTTGATCAAATGCAGAGAAATGACAAGAACCTTGGCAGGATGGACAGACGCAGATTCAATTTTTCGGAAGGTGCATATTGCAATCAGGGACATGAAAAATGGACACAGAACAAGAAACACAAGAATGTGAAGCCAGCAAAATGGCGACTATAACTTTTCTGAAAAAAATGCTGTCACCACAAAATGTAAGATCATATTTAATACTGTGCAGTGACCTGTTAAAAACATCAGAGAGGCAGCTGATGTAGAACAATACACCCATTCCAGAAATCTGGACGAATCCGAGCTTTTACCCAACATTCCAATCGGATGCGTCAGTGATTACTCTTTGGTGTGGGGTGTCTTAAAAGGAATTTTCCCTACTTAGCTGATCTGCTCAGAAAACGGTCAGGGCTAACAATCATGAACATAATCCAGTCCACTCTTCCTGATCGCAAATCCTTACGTGTGCAATCAACTTTGAGTTTGGCAAATCCACAAACTTGAAAGCACTCAAGATGTTAAGAATCAGTATCTGTGTAGCCAGCTCAATACTCCACACTAGTTCATCTAAGAGCCTGTTTAAAAGACTAGTTAGGCACATACTGTTGACTTTTCTTTTCTTACCTCGGTGAGCGACAACTCAGATCTCCACAGGGAGAGTCGAATGGTTTTCGGCTAGGTCACACATCTTTGAGGGTCACCTAAGACAAGAGCAGACATAATCATCAATTAACAGAAGTACTGGTATTGCTGTGTTTTAAAGTGTAAGTACTTATTAAACTGAATATACCGGTACACATCTGGCAGGGACAGCAGAAGAAAAAGTCATAGAATCCTCAACAGATTACCTCACTCACAATCATTGAATTGACACTGTGACCAACTCGTTTTTGACTTTTTGACTGAAATACCAAGACAGGCAAGGTGACACTGTCCCACTACAATTCCATAGGTGGTGACAATACGTATTAAAACTTTGTGTACGAACTAACTTGAAGTTAATTTTCTCACCACATGGGTCTGGCGGAACTGTGCCCAACTTGGCCCAGATGCAACTAGACTGTTGTGATGCAATAAGACAAATTCCGTGACACCTTTAATAGAATGTGTACCACAATTTGGGGCAACTCTCTGCAGAAAATTGTGCAGATTTGGCTTAACACTGCCAACTGCGTCACCAACATATACAATATGAGGTTGGCACAGAGCATATCTGTAGCAAGGAGAGAGGGCTTGTATTCAGATGCTCACACTTGCATCGGTAGCTATTTGACATGTGAAAACATAAATTAAGTAAGTCATTGATTCATTGAGGTGACTATCAAAAAAAAAAAAAAAATCAGATGTTTAACCCCAATGGTAAAAAAAAAAAAAAAAAAAAAAATCAAGTTTATATTGGGGAAAAATGTGATCGATGGTTGAATAAATCATGGAAATTAATAACCTGAATTGAAGCAAGTGCAGTGAGGCAGCAAACGATTACTACATGTTTTTTTTTTACTTTGCTGACGACTACTACTACAACGATAACTAATTTTGGTGCCTGAAGGTGAGGCCATGCACACAGACTAAAGTAAACAGATGGTTGCTGTGACTCCTCTACTCATGGTTAGACAAGTTTAGCATGAATAAAAAAGTATGTTGGGATGCTAAAAATAACTCAACTGTAAACGACACAAACATATTGAGTTTAGGGTCAAAACCATTAAGAGAATAATTCACATTGTCAAGTACTTTTTGGGGGGGGGTGACACGGGAGAAGCCGCGGGAAAAATAATAATAATCAGGACTCCGCAAGCGAAGAGAGTACGTCGCTTATCCCTCAGATGCACACATTTCTGAGCACTCCAGCTGATTAAGCATTTTGGAAGCAGCCTTGTATTCGTCAGAAGGACTCTCACATAGAAACCCATGTACGCATCTCAGAGGAAGGACTCAAGGAGAGTGCAGAGCAGCAGTCACGTCTGTCTAGACTCTAGAGTGAATCACATCTTGTCAAGTGAAAGCAGAGTGAATCACATCTTGTCAAGTGAAAGCTCGACATTTCCGTCATCCCGAAACACACGTTTGGCTTTAACGTTCATATGCTCAGTCAGTAATAAGGCCTAAATAGCAAAACAGTTCCATGTTATGTTAGCATAACAATACGCCGGCGTTAGCATCGAGCATGAAGTGCTGCTGGTCATGTGAGCGGCTTTAAAATGTTTTTTTTTTTTCTAGGAGCATGACTCTTCACCTATTAGGCTGTCTAACAAAAAGGAAAAGACAGCACGAGCTCAAAGGTGAGGGAAATGAAGGTGACAGTCATTATTTGAAACCCATGAGATAACACAAGTCATTTTGGAGGTGCCTAGAGTTGTGGAAAGGTTCACTCAAGTCCAATTGAACAGTTTTAGCTCATCATGAAGTGACTCGAGCGCATGCAAATCTGCTGTGAGAATAAATTATTCAAAAAGGTCTCACTGTGGCAAGAATATTTGGTTTTCTGTTGTGTTCACAACAGCATCAAACATAATATCTTTTTCATCCACCATGGGAAGCCATGATCCTAATACCGTATTTAGCTTGCCAAATAGCTGTCGCTGTTAAAATACTTAGACAATATGTCAGACATTTAATAAGGTCCAACAACTGACAATAAACAAACTTCCTTACATGGGCCACTCCCGGAATATACAAGATTGGCTCATTGTCTACAGCAGTGTTGGAAAAGGACTAGCTAAGCACCAACCCATCCTGTTGACTGCACTTCAAACGTATATTACAATAGGATTAAAAAAAAAAAAAAGACTGCTACACTGCTAAATAGTGGCCATGGTTGGAACAAAGCCAATTAATGGACTTCAAACACAACGTGTACTGTTCGTTTGTTGATTTGTAGTCTGGATAGGGCAAGGCTTTCCATCGAAAACAACTGTCTCGAATATTTATGCAATTCGAATCCACTATTGTCACAGTCTTATCTCAAGAGTGGTAAACACACAATAATTGCATCACTAGAACACTTAGACTGCAGGTCTAAGTGACTGATTCAGTTCAGTCCATTTATTGCCTGTGTAAGATTTATTTAACTATACATTGCAAGTGACCCGTTTCCGGCATGTTCTTGTTGGCGAGAGCAAGGACACCAACTTCATTCAGTGGAGAGTGAGGGCAACAAGAAAATGGTGTGCTGCAGCAAAGTGGTGACTGTGGAGTAGAATACTGCTGGGGCAATAGCTAAAGTACACCAACAGGACTAAGCTAATGTGTGTTAGTTATTGTTGTGCGTTTTATTTTTGGCCTTGCATCCTCAAAGGCTAGTTGCTTGACGACTAAGCAACCAGCAGCGCTTTACGGCACTTCGGCTCAGCACGCTTAGAACCCTTGCTGAACAGGTTCTAGAAAGAGCACCTGGAAGTATCATCTCTTAACAAATGAAAAAGCACTAAACAACAGCTCAGTCAAGCCGAGTAAGTACAACACAGTGAAAAAGCAGCATGCAATTTAAAAATGATTAAGTTATGTGGAAAAAAAAATAGAATGGAATCAAAATCAACGAATAGGTGAAATACAAATCTGAAATCAATAAAATTCCTCATAGCTTTCTAGTGGGCACAGAGTGGTGTGCCTCCAGAATCGAATAATATTCTTTACTCATTGCACACTTGGTAACTCATTACACCGAGGTGTTCAAAATCATGATAAACCAAGACTTCGAGACATTGTCAGTCACAGCTGCAGTTAGGCAGGAGACAGGCTTTAAATATTTACAAGGATGGCCTTTACCAGAAATGATCTCCACAGTGAAACCACCCCTTTTGCTGTATCTTTTAAGGATATTTTGCAGAGCAGATATGACATCTGTAAAGCTGAAGTTCCTGAGCACTTCGACATCGACCCATTGTGACAGGATCGAAAAGAAAAAAAAAAAAATAGAGAGCAATCTGAAATAAAAGCAAGGACGTTGGTGAGGAGGTCAAAAGACAGCTTTAGAGTGGAAGCCCCCCCATGTGAGGTCTGGAAAAAACACCCACGCAAGAACAGGGAAAAGATACACACTGCACACCTTCACTGAGACGGAAACTCTAAAAAAATCAAATACAATCCCTGCGAACTGTACAGAGGACGTGTTACCACTGGTAGACCATGATTTTGCAATGTACCGTATTTTCCGCACTCAAAGGCGCACCTAAAATCCTTCCATTTTCTTGAAAGCTCACAGCGCGCCTTAAAATCCGATGCCCCTTGTGTATGGTCATTACGGTGATATGTCAACCACAAAATGGCTCCTTGCTAGAGACATTCTTACAATGCAGAGGTCAAACTTAAGGCGATCGGTTTCGCAGTTGAACACGGAAATAGAGCAGCAGCAAGAGAGTTCAACGTTAACGAGTCAATGTTATAACTTGCTGTTGGTTAAGTGAACTGTGTCGCTGCTTGATTCAATAAGTTTTCCTGACATCTGACCGTCGCTATATAAATGAGGGTGTAGTGTAGTGTTCTGTTGGCATTTCCTTGAGCGTAGCTCCATCTAGTGGATGCACTGTAGATTGCGTCTTATAATGCGGCGCGTCCAATATATGAAAATAATTACAAAATAGGTCATTCATTGAAGGTGCGCCTCATATTCCAGTGCGCCTTGTGGTGTGGAAAATACGGTATATTATTTGCAGTTACTCTAAACATGAAGGCTGACCCCAAGCCATCTTAGCTCACTCAACCATGAATTATTGAGCATGAACAAGTTCTGTGCTGGTTTGTGCCACTTCAGACTGCCTTTTTGCCCCTTCAAGCAAATATCCAACCAAATTAGATCGTCACATCAAAGTTAGCATATAGCAAACAAAATGCCAAAGTATTCATGCAACTCAGAGGAAACCGGGAAACACATCCTGTCTTGGTGCATGCTTGTTTGCAGGAGATCTTTGAGGAACACCCACACGCTGACGGTTCATCCAAACACTTTCCCTAGGAAGGAGGATTAACTGCTAATACCCAACCACGGTGAAACTGGCGGCTGTACTCACCGCCCCATCGGGCTGTCTTGATCATTTCGAGAACAAACGCTTAGCGGCGGAACGGGCTGTCACCTCAGGAATAGAAAGAGCTTCATTAAAAGCAAATTCAGCTGTGGAGAAGGATTTTTCTTTATTTTGAAAGAGACCTGTGAACTTAGAGAGGAAGACAGGTAGAGTCTAAACCACATGTCACTGACGTTTGGGGAAGCAAAGGTCATCGTCGGACAGTAAAGCACAGTCAATATGTTCCTGGGCAAATCAATGATTCTCCCTCCAGGATAGAAAAACTGACATATTTGGGCAGGCCAAATATATCCAGAAGCTTGTGAATGAATGTCTAAAACACAAAACAGTGATGGTGATGTGCGATACAGATCGAGGGAAGAATCGTCTACACTCAGCATCATCCTTCTCTCAGCACTCATAGGCAGGTGAGGGGAACTGAAGCGTACGCACATCCAGGGCTAAAATTAGCAACTGCAGCTGCAGGGCCAGACGTGCTGGGATGGGCCCATGTTGCAACACACGATCGCTCGCTGGCATACGCGCGGGTACACACAGTGTTCCACCAATTAGTCAGGGCGAGCCACAACAAACATGCAGAGAGGGCGCGGGTGAACACCAGGAGGGCCAAGCCTCATCGTGAGACTCACACAGAGAACTTGGATGCTAACACGATGCGCATATTCGCGCGGTGGACAAACATCTTAGTGTATGTTACCTCTGCTTTGATTGCCGTTCATTGGATTGTTAGGCAACATTTTTATTTTCATGTAACTCTGTGGTGAGATGGAATATGTGCTCAGCAAGTATGGGTTAATTATTTATAAGGATCTGGATAAAAGTCTTGAAAATGGATGGGGAAGGCAAGTCAACTAATCCAGTGTTTTTGAAACACTGTGCCGCAGCACACTGGTGTTCCGCGAGATATTGTCAGGTGTGCCGTGGGAAATAATTCCAATTCTGTGCGGCCTATCGCCTGGCAGAGTAATAATGTAGTACTCTTCCATACCGGTAGCGGGCAGCAGCAGCTAGCCAATTGCCTTGTGCTTCGAGACAAGCAAAGTTTCTGGCGCGAGGTAATCCAACGAAAGCTATCTTTCATTTGGATTTACTTTTACCAGAGATGCTACGGCATCGACTACGTTGTACTTGGTATGTGGTGAAAAGCTCTCCAACATCGCTATGGTCCCAAGTAAGCTTAAACTCGATCTCTTAAACCAGGGGTGTCAAACTCATTTCACATGGTGGGCCACATACGGCCTGGGTAGATGTCAAGTGGGCCGGACCATTAAAATGATACCATACTTTGCTATAAATAACCAAAACAATATGTCTTTCCTTTGTTTTGGTATAAAGAAGCACAAGAACATTAGGAAAATGTTGAAATTAAATGAACATATCTTTTACAAAACATTTCATGAAGCACCTTACATTTCCTTCGACAAATGTGCAATTTACTTTTATCATTCACATATATGCATTGCAACTGATCCCAGTGATTGTACAAACTTTAACAAGTAATTGGTTTTGAAAAATAGAGTAATGCACTTTAAGATTAAACGAGATTTATAAAGAAAGGAAGTTTTAAACCATTTACACGTGCATATAAAATCTAAATGTAATCCCTGCCTACACCTTACAAACTAAGGAGCGTGCTATTAAATGTGTAAATGTGAGAGTGCTATTGATAGCGTCTGCTGTCATGGGTCTGTCTCAGTGATGGACTGAGGCTGCTGTTGCCTTCTTCTCTGATCAAAACAGTGTCCCCTAGCGGATACTCAATGAATTGCACCTTATTAAAAATATTTATTCTGTGTCTTTTATGCATTTTCTTCACTTTTAAATTATCCTGTGGACCTGATGGAACGGCCCGCGGACCGTATGTTTGACACCACTGCTTTACATAATCATCTCGCGGGCCGGATTAAAGTCCTTTGGGGGCCGGATCCGGCCCGCGGGCCGTACGTTTGACACCGCTGTCTTAAACAAAACACCCTTCACTTCAAAACAAAAATGTGGAGTATTTTGTTCGCCTGTGTGAACAAACGAAGAAACAAGCAATGTGCCTGAGCCCTGAAAGCAAGTTACCATGTCGCTGAACTTGTGGCTAAACTTGTGGTAAATGAGACGTTCGAACCCGAAGCGGCTAAAGAAATAGCCTAACGACTGTAAAAACTAATAACAGAGAAAGACTGAGAGTTGTGGAAGAAGAGCATTGTGGGTCTTTCATCGATTGCTGCCAGGATATCAGATCTGTGATCATCCAAACCATTTACCACACTGGGTGAGAATAAAAATGAAAGATAATAAAATACTTTATTGATGTTTATTTGATTCCTATTCAAGGTGTTATAACATTATTCTTCATTGTTTAAAAAAAAACCCTTATAATAACAATATAACACTTTAACTGTTAAATTATTAGATTTTCAGCTTGTGGTGTCCCACAGCAATTTTTCAATGAAAGAAACGTGCCTTGGCTCGAAAAAGATTGAAAAAACACTGAACTAATCAACTGATCATTCCGAATGATTTCTATTGTGCTAATTTTGATGACTGTAATTGGGTCAAGAGGCAACGGAGGCAAAATGGAGTGCACTTTCGGACTGAAAGCAGCAGGGATGCTGTTGACTCAGTCTCAGCTAAATTGCTGTTTGGAGTTGCAGTCCACTTGCATGGAGGCAAAGCGCTCCATCAGAAGACACTGCACCAACACGGCCCAAGTGAAATCCTGTGGCCTTGAAAAGTGATGATTTTTCAATCCAACAAGTCTTTTGCCTTGGTGGATGCCTGTGCTCTGCTACTCCAGTTCAAGAGATCGGTTTATATTGGCACAAAGGAACCAATAAACAGCTTATGGATCAGCATTAAACACCTGGTGGCATGAATGGATTTTGTCTAAAAAGTACAATTTTCACTTCCACTGATTGAGGAAATCGAATAAAATGCTGTATTAAAAGTAATACAGACATGACACAAACTAGAGATTACAGTAAATTACAAAAAAAAAAAAAACGCATTGGGGGATCTTTTGCTGCTACAACGCCTGGTAAGAGAGCTTCGACACAAAGGTTGACCTTGAGCATACCAACCACAGAGCAGACCAGAGGCTTTAAAACCACTGAAGGAATAGCTGAGCAAGAGGAGAGCACAAAAGCAGTGGGTGCAATAATACGCAGTCAGCTTCTGCATTCAAACCATGGTGATGAGACTTACATTTTGACTCCATAAAGTGCATCGCGGCTGGTTTTAATACTCGCGTAACAATGACAAAATGCCTAAAAGGAACTAACTGTCGGCAAACTAATAAGCATTAGCGAGACCACTCCCGATGTTATTATCCTTTTGATCCTCCGTCGCATTCCGGAGCACGTTTGTTAACGGGCTGCCGCGCTCTCCAGTGTTCTCTCCTACGCTTTCCTTCCACGTATTTCCAATTCCATCTCAGCATCAAATAGCTGGCGCTAATTCAAAGGCTTCATTGATCACCCGGGATTTGGCGACTGTTCAACTTTGGACTGACAGGGAGTCGTGACCAGCAAAGAGAGCCGACGAGCGTGGGGTGGGGAGGATGATGCCTGATGATGTTACCTAACACTGACCACCCAGTCACATTAAAAATGGTTGCCGAGAGCTCTGTGTAGGACGTGTGACATCAAATATCCCGTGCCTCAAATGATCAATTGTGGGTGCGTTTTACTTCTCCATTGCCTTTTTGGCAACACTCACTTGGATAGAAAAAGCAGCTTTAAGATGGATGGTTAAGAGAAAGAGAATGCGGGAAAACAAGACTATACCTACAGGAAGTTAAAACAGAGCTTTTATTGTTACACATTTGACGAATAACTTAATATCTTTGAAGGATATAATCATTTAACAGTTAAAAGACCTTTTACGATTCCAAAGAGAACATCCATCCATCCATTTTCTCAAACCGCTGTGTTCTACCTTTTTCGCACCCTGGACAGGTTTCAAGTTGAGGCTTGTTTTGACAAATAAAATAAATAAAACCAAATGATGAAATGTGCACCTCACCATAAGACTGAATGTAGCTGTGGTAATTAACATGCCGCTCCCACGCTGGAATATTGTTTTTTTTCTTTCAGAAAATTTCTTTGGATCGTCTTGTAATGCTTAGGCTCCATGCGCTGAAGCAGTTCTGATTGCTTCATTGCCTCATTTGCGAGGCTGTCATGTCATATTACGCAGAAAGGGTTTGGTGCGTGCAAGTCAACTGGCAATGAATCTGTACTATAAGTAGGACTGCTGATCTTGGCTCTTAAATACGGCTTTATTTTTCTTGGAAGTTGCAGGCTCTTCTTCTGCCTCGTTATTTGGTCTGTTCCAATTTTCTAAGAAGCATTAGTTGTTTGGGGGTTTCAACTGTTGGGTTTACTTTGTCCTTGCATCAGGTGACGAAGATGAGCATTAACTTAAAAAAAACGCAAGGCTTTTGTGATTGTGAATGTCTGACTCTGGAACAGAAATTCTCTATTTCCATTATTTCATGTGAGAAATTTTGTTTTGAAATCGGAACTACGTCGAGTTAGAGAGAATGCGTTTGACAGATCCCACTGTATGTACCATTCATAGGTTACTTTAAAAGTACATTTTTCTTTCTACCAAACAGCCCTTGCTGCAACCAAGGACTTTGGGACCAGACGGTCATGAACTGTTTGCTCTTGGCCTCGGATATGCGCTTTTGGAATGCTCTCGTTGATGTAGTCACAGGTATCGATCAACTGTGCAGTTTCAGTGGAGTATTTGATGGTTCGGTGCTGGGCCTCCCGACAGAAAGATAATCAAAGAAGGGCTGCTGTTGTGCAGATTGCAGTGGCAGCCAACACGCAGATAGACATGATACGTGGCAAAGCAGTGAGTCACATCCAGCCAACTGTCAAGCCTGTGCAAGCAATCCGCCTAAAATGATTCCACTATGGCTTTTAGGCGCACCAAGAACACATTTCGAGGCAGGGGGAGAAAAGGCAAATGCAAACTGTAACACATTCAAATAAAAAAAGCGTTTGACAGGTAAAGTGCATATGAAGTCGAGGAGCCTTTTATCTGAAAGCTCTCAGGAAAAGCATTAAAAAAAAAAAAAAAAAGAAAAAAGAAAATATCTCATTTGACTTTCTTCCAATGGGGAAAAAGAGGAACATCAGTGGGCTTGAAGCCTGTGCGATCCTCTGAGTCCACGGGGGTGAGCGAGCGTAGTGGAAAACAGTCCCCGCAGCTAATCCATGTCGGGCTAATTACAGCTTTGATCCTTTGGGTGAGCGCGTCGCCTAGAAGGGAGTGAGCCAACGCACTTTGGAGCTACCGGGACATTGTTTCCGTTAAATCAGTCGTGCTTCAGTCACACCTGTGTTGCACATTTGTACCATTGTACGCTATTGATTCAGTCTCAATTATTGGGCCATCCATTTTACAAAACTACTCAAATGGTTCAGGGTTGTCGGGTGCCATTATTTATACAGGCCTTTAGACTCAGACCAATTTGGGTGCCGAGGCAACCAAATTTCTTCATGTTATGCCTAAAAAAAATGTTTTTAAAGAATGAATGAATGAATAAGAGGCTGCAACGATGCGACCAGCCTTTTGAGGAGCGGGGGAAGAAGGTAATAGTGATTTTTTTGTGCCGGTGTATCAATTTATTTAATATTTGCAAAGTGCCATTTTTTTGTGAACAACGCCTGGGTCTGTCATACTTACATTTTTTAAAAAAAAATATCTAAGATAGTTTATTGTTCTACATTTCAATGCCAATGTTCAATGTTCTTGAGAATTAAAAGTGATTTGCTGTCAATTTAATATACACTCAATTTAAGATGCTCTTTCATAATATCAGCAGGATAAAATAGCAAAATCAATTTATCCTGATTATTAATTGGACAATATTACCAATTTTAAAACCTGCCAATTTTTTGCCATATTTTTTTAACACATTACAAACTACGTTTTAGGGAAGCGCAAAAGGAAAATAAGTTACATGTATTTTATTCCTTATATACTTGTCTTATTACTTGGCCGATTAATCGGACGTCAGAATTTTAATCTGCCAAAAAGGGAAATTGACATTGGCCTTAAAAAAAAAAAAAATAAATAAAATAAATCAGAATTTCAGACGGGCTCCAGCCTCTTTGTGTGGTGGGTTTCCACCTATTACGGGTGGGTCGGGAACAATAACCTCAATGTCAAAGAGGGTTTACTGTAATCTGACTGTGGCATGTTGTGCTACTGTAGCAAAGCAAACAAACATTTGCGGCATATACTGCTTCCGCGGCATCCGCATAAACGGAAAAGGCAGATAAAAGATGACTCCGGTTGCAGCAATTGTGCAGGATGTCTTTTGTAAAAGAGGCTTTTACTTTTTACTGCGTTCTCAACCAGAACCCGTAAATGGCAGTGATCTTGTTTTATGCGGCATGTGCGTTTAATGTGAAGAGCTTTCATCACTATCAACAAAGGGAAGATTTAGTTTTGAAACCTCACCGTAAACAGCCTCACAATTCATTTTCAAAAGGCTTGCTATGGACAGGTGCCATTTGTCACTGAACGGGAGAAGATGCGGAGAGACAGATTAAACGGGTAATTGGGAGTTTCGGCTCTAAAATAGCCTGCTGTCCTCGTGATAGTCCCAAAACACACAGCCACAGAGACAAGTGAAAGAGAGGAGGAGTAGGAGGAGGATGATAATTGAGGATAAGCAGCAGATGGCGTGGCATCAGTTCTGCATTTTTGCCACTGATGCATTGATTGAAGGAACTCGCCTATGCAAAGATGAGGGGGAATTAATACAATCCATTACTGGTTAGGGGATTGTTAGCTTTAAGCACTTTGAGAACCAAACAACCCGTCAAATGCTAATCAATTACGTTCTTGTTATCGAATCAACCACATTAGTGGAATGCAGTGATTGAACAGCAGCAGCTCTTTAGTTAGTAAGCACCCGTGCACAGTAGGGCAGTTTTGATCAGCTTCACTCCTCATTAATTAGATGATTCATTCTCCAAGGCAACTCTGTGAAAACATCAAAATGCCTCATTTATTTCCAAAAGGAGTACAACCCATGAACACCACTTTGTGAAAAAAATACATTGTAATAATACAAATGTCAGTCATTGGAGCACAAATGAGTGCTGACATTTGCATTATTACAATTTATTGCTTCCACCTTATTTTTCACATTACATGACACTAAGTTCATTTCAGTTTTGCTTTGTTGAATAGCTCCGACTTGAAAATGTACTTTTTCTCATGTGGTTTTTGCTGTTGAAATGACCCTTTTTACATTTTCTTTTAGGACAAAACTACAACATATTTATGTTTCACAGTATTAGGATTTAGTTTTGGGAAATATGTGGACTGCATTCTTGTAAAATGTAAACATATTTCTTCTGAGTATTTAAAGGGACTAAACTGCTCACAAATTTAAATTTATTCTCAAAAATCTATTGTAAAAACTTTCCTCACATCAACTTAAGTATTTTCTTAAAATGTCTCCATTTCTTATATTACAACTTCATTCAAACCTTTTTTTATTATTATATTTACAATATTGTTTTTGTAAAAATGAATACATTTCACGTCAGGAGGATGTAATTCTCATGTTAGAACTGTGTTCAAGTAGTTGAACTCTTCTTGGTAAAATAAATTATTTCTTCTTCATAAGAGAATTTTATTTTTTGTACAAGTACAACTTTTTCTCATTGTAAGTTTTTCTTCCCAAATTATCACACCTTTAACTTTCCTGAAATGATGAGTTGACACTTTCTTATACGTATTAGAACTTTACCTTTATGATATGCTTTCCTGAAAGATCGGGACTAATCTCCTCTTAATATCACCATTTTATTCTTGTAATTTTACTACTTATGTCCTCTTGTTTTAATTTTCATAAATCTCCAACTTTATCACTGTAAAATTACAAGTTTTTTTCTCCATTAATATCATGATGCTATTTTTTTTTCATATCACAACTTCAACCTCATCATTAATTGTTTTCTATCGAAGTTTCCCTCATAAATTTATAACTTTTCCTCATAATATTACATTTTAACCTTCATAATATTAAAACTATGTTCTCAAAAAATTGTGACTCTAGTTCTAGCCCTGTGATTTTGTAAATTTATTGCTATTTATTCTTGTAAAATTACAACATTTACAGATTAATATTGCACTTTTTTAAAGCAATTATTTTTTTCCTCATCATACTTTACATTCATTTGATTCAAATTGTTTTCTCTAAATATTTTTTTCTGGAAAAATTACATGAGGATTTTTTTTTCCAATAGAGTGTCTATTTTTTATATTATACTATATTCATATATCATTATTCTAACATTTACCGATTAATATTGCACTTTTTTAAAGAAATGATTTTTTTCCTCATCATACTTTACATTCATTTGATTCAAATTATTTTCTATAAATATTTTTTTCTGGAAAAATTACATAAGGATTTTTTTTCCCAATAGAGTGTCTATTTTTTTATATTATACTATATTCATATATCATTATTCATATCTCATATATATCATTTACATTCATATTATACATTTAGCATGCTACGTTGCAATATGACTTTCACTGCTGTATTCTTACAAAATTACAACTCCCCGAAAAACACGGCAGTCATAACAACCCTAAAATTCGGTCCACCTGCATGAGATTTTATGCAGAAGCTCTGCAAACACACGGACATGCAACACTGTTTGATTGGGACGTTTTTACGCGATCATCACTGGATTTTGAAAAGGCTGCTTGCTTGATATACAGCGGAGGAAGGTGTACCAAGTGAAGTGTCCGACAAATGACCTGTGCCACCGTGGCACAAAAAACTGCACGTAACGTCTGCGGAACAACACCGCCTTGTGTTACCAAGCCCACTGTACTCATATTACCCGTTTAAACATTAAAGCGCGTCTTTTTCCTGTGCTTGTGTCAATAACTTCCAACCCACGTCGCAAACCGCACTCACCGCCACGAAAACCTCCTGAGCCCCGCTGCCGCTAGCTAACCTTAGCTCGGCTCTTTAGCTTGGCCCATACAGACGTCTTCCGTCCTCGGTCGTGACCATGCCGGAGACCGCCCGCCGCTTTCCGTCCGTCTTGTGCCTCTGCTCCACCCGGTTGTTAACACTTTGGACGCCGCGTACTAAAACCGCCTCAGGTAGCCAGCCTTCAACCCCGCACAACCATCACGGTAACGCGTCAAGTCAGCGCCTAGTATCATTTTTTTCCGTCTTATCCAGCAACTCACGAGACACCCACCTGTAGTGACGTTCGTTGCGGAGGCTGAGCCCTCGGGGAAGGAGAAACAGTGGTGGTGTTTGGCGAGGGCGGTCACCCGGTCGAGAAGCTCGTTTCACGCATACGCCAGTGTGCGACCGACCGCAGAATCTCACGTCTGTGCTTGTCAGTGTGAGTGCACCGGGATGACGCTTCAAGCAACGCGGCACGCGATTGGTCGAGCTGAGCGGAAGTGCTGCCATTGGTCGAGCTGAGCGGAAGTGGTGCTTGCTTGTTCACCAAGGGGGTGGGGTGTTGAGGCGTTCATGACCGTCGGACTGCACGGCGTCAAGATCACGACGCATTTCTGAAGTAGCAGAAGCCACAGCAGACGTGGTTTGCGCGTTTATTCGATTTAATTGCTATCCCGCGTAAAGTCCATAAAGTACGCTTTTCGTCCTCACTGAGAAGACAGTCCGTTTTATGCAGAACGCGACCAAATTCCGAAAACAGGTTCGTGGACTTCCTGTGTACTCTGTCAACTGTAGTTTGATGACGTTGTTGTTTGAACCCGAACTTGCTGAAATGTTTAATTTACGACGGGTGTCTTTGCACAAAAATAAATGCATGTGTATCATTCAAATGTACGTACATTATATCGGTAACGCCCGAGTGGTAACAGAATGCATCTCCATTACATTGCTGCAGTTTGCTACTACAACTCACCCCAATCGCGCGACACACTTGACTTCCTCACTCCACCCTTTAACCCTCATGCCCTTTCATCTGCAATGGTGTAATCATTTTTCTTTTTGCTCTGTCATCTTTAAAGACACCACAGTCACACGAACAAAGAGCAACCCGTAGCGAGTGTCAATTATTTTCAAACAGCACTGCAAAGCATGCTTGGAGTCGCGGATATGGTATCACCATTCCGACGACATGTAAACACTAAGTCTACATATCGGATTTGGTCGTCTTTGGTACGCTCTTGAAGACATATTGTGTAAAAAAAAAAAAAGCCAGTCTAGATGTTTTAACATTTCTCCACTTGGTTTGTTCCGGTCTCCTTCGGGCTCCTCCACCAGTCACTTTAACCGGAGGTAATTGCGTTAACAATTTTGGACGAACGCTGAAGTTGTCTCTTGACCTGATTCGTGGACTCAACGATGATTCAAGACGATTCATACTCGTTGCTAGCCATTTTGGGGGTGTACAAACACCCCTAAATTGAATCCAAATATCCGTAAAAATGGAGAGATTTTTTTTTTTATTTATACTGCATATCAGTTTTAAACAAGCTAGAAATGTGTACAACTATACAGTTCTTGGTCGAAACATATTTTAGCTGCAAAAATTTTGACGGATTGTAATTGGTGGAAATTGACTTCCGCGTGCATCCTGGTATTGCGTTTTATGACGCACTCAGTTTCGGTATGGCTGCAGTACTTTGCATTGAAAGGAAAGATTAAAAAATAGTTCAAATGGCTTTAAAGCTATCACCAAATGCGAAATAATTATCCTTACTTGTTTGATGATGCTTTGTTGATATAGGAGCGGTGATTAAAATTTCTCTGTTAAATATGGGGACCGAGGAGTAGGTTGTGAACAGCATGACAAACCTGAAAGCAGATTATATTTTAAAAAAAAAACTATTTACACGTCTTCATCCTGGTTTAAAATTATGCACTTTTCCACGGAAACCCCGCCTCAGATAGCCCCCTCCCATCTCTCTCTCTCTCTCTCTCTCTCTCTCTCTCTCTCTCTCTCTCTCTCTCTCTCTCTCTAGTTTTAAATTACGTCATTCTTTTCAGTGTATAACCCATCTGCACTAAAAGAGAGATAACTTAACGCTTAATCAGTATGTCGACAAGTAGCGAGTCGTGATCTCACACAGGATTCTTTTTTTTAGGTTTCACAAATCGTGTCCGGAAATTCTTCGCTCATGACGCACACTGACGCAACAACTTCCCAAGTAAGTGTCTCTCTGGTTGAGTTTCAATTTCCAAGCTATATTTTTGGAACTTTTTTAAACCAATCATACCGATGTTTTGTTTTAGTTCCCAGGACTACTGGATGTTTATCATCAAACTCAATGCTACGATCGACTTCCTGTACCGATGGCTCTCTCTGGTACAGAAATGCTTCGTGCTATTCATCAAATCTCAGAGTCTCTCAGCAGTCACGAACGCTTGAAGGTTTTCTACTTGTGTGAGACGTTGGACATGGATAATACAGTAGCCCGTTTGAAGGACACGCTTGAATCCAAAGTCATGAGTTATCACGCAGGAAGTCTGTTTTTGGCTGAGCTCATGCTGCATTTGAGAAGGTACGACATCCTGAGGCGGGTTTTTGGGTCCAGCAGGGATGAGGTGGAGAGAGCTTTGAGATCCAGGCAGGTTCTTCCCAGATTCAGGTGAGAAAGCATCTACAAAAAAATGCATTATCATTTTTTTCTTCACAGTTTAAAACAGTTCTTATGTGATTTAACCATTCAAAGTTGGCCTGTTTGACAGCAACAAACGTTTCCTAGATGTCATTATTTCACTATATACTTTTCTTAATGTGACTCAAAATACCCAAAATGTCATTCTTTTGTACTACTGTTACAAAGTTTGTGTACACTACTCATGTTTTCTTTGGGTCTCAATAGTACCCACTGGTCCCTTTTTTTTCCTAAGGAGAGAAAAGGCATCCGTGTTTGCACTGCCTCTTCTGTCTCACTCCCTCTCACCTCCTCCTCTGTGCTTCTGCTAGTTGATGAGGAAAAAAAGTTAATTTGAGACAAGTAACTTGAAAGAGGCGCTCTGTAGTCAACTCTGCAAGCAGCTAATCATTCTGCCTTGCTTCGACAACCCCCCACTAAAAGAAGAGAATAGCTCACCGGTGACTGTGGTGACTACCGGTGTATTAACAGTTATCGAAACCTTGACTTTTTAAAACCATGGGAAACAGTCAAATTGGTAATTGGCCCATGCCTAATTTACCTGAATTTATACATTTAATAAACCAATGTGTGTTCCCGAAAAGAAAGTTGTAGTGATGGTGTGAAACTTGAAACTGAGCATGCATTAAATTTGTGATTTATTTTATTTTATTTTATTTTTTTAATGGTAAAGTGGCTTGAAATGGCAAAAGGGAGCTTGAAGTAGTCCCAAAATCTGTCCTCCACCATGTTTGTAAAGGTTGCTACAGAAGCATGCACCTGTGAGTGTTTGAATGGTCACGGGGGAATTTGGAAATCATAAAAGAATAAAACAGTAAATTAATTCTCATATTACTAAGCAGAAGGAACAGAAGTCAGAGGGTGCTTTTGAAACAGGTGTGAGATGTGTCGCAATTAATTGTCCCTTCTCTTTGAAACATTGATGAAGGATAAATATTCCCTTAAAGTCACACAGGCTATCAATACATTTTGCAAGCATGTATGGTTCACAATTCTATTTAGACAATTATGCTTGCTTGCTTGGTAGGCAGCCACTCCAGAGAGACAACTATTTGTATACAAGCCACAAAAAAAAAAAAAAATCTCATTCATAGTTTAATTGTATCTGACAAATGTGTTCCTCATGTCGTCCCTGCTCCAGAGTACTGATGGCTCATATAAGTGAGGACATGGCCAGCGAAGATGTGAACAGTGTGAAATTTCTGCTGGGTAACATGCTACCACGTCACAAAAAGGAAACTGCCACGGTAAAGCAATGACGCAATGTCGCAGTGCATTCCTGCGTTGGCGGGGACATTTGTTGTTGCCACATCAAACGCTTTTAAGTCAACACTTTCACTTCTCATTTCTGAACATTTTTCTCGCAGAACTTCCTGGACCTGATTATAGAACTGGAGCGCCTCGATAAGATTTCCCCCCAAAGAGTGGACTTTTTGGAGGAATGCTTCATGCATGTTGGCAGGGTTGACCTGGCCAAAAAACTGAAGGTGTACAACATGTCAGGTGAGCGGTGCAGTATTTTCCCCTCTAGTCCATTAACCTATAAGTCTTGAGAGATTGAGTGACGCAAAGCCAAGTGCCCATTTCCAGTTTTTATATGAAGAAAGAGAGAGAGTATGTTTCCATTTTAAGTGACAGTGACTGGTTAGCGCAGAGGTGCAGAGTTCGATTCTGACGACAGCCTTCCTGTAATACTTGTCTTTATTTTTCTGAAACTGCCCCCCCCCCCCAAAGTCACCCCCCTCCCCCAGGGAGGAGGCGTGCATCACACATTGAAAACCCGCATACAGTATTTGAATGAACTCATTCTCACATGCTCTGTTGGGAAATTTTTCAGAACGTCATTTAAATTAGTAATAGTGTACTGCTCGTAACTTTTTTCCTCCCCACATTGATTTTCCTCGTATTTTACATCTGATTTCAGTAAACTTACCCGTACCTGAAGTAGGTGGGCACCATGCTTGCCAGGTAAGATTCATACTAAGACAATTTACAGACAAAAGTAGTGGCACACTTGTCAAACGATTCCTACTGAAGTTGTAAGCAACTGTCTAAAAGTGTTTTTAAGGTGACAAATAAGATTCAGGGGCCCTAAGAGGTGTACTCCAGTCCATGAATATTAATTAATTCATGAGGTGTTGCAAAAGGCTCTGTCCACCTTTTGTTAATCTATTTTAACCCCTGTTGAATTTCAAACATGTCTCTGCTTGCATGTGTGTACCAGAGTCCAGTAAATCAGTACAAATTTACGAGTGAGACCAGAGGAGTGTGTCTCATCATAGACTGCGTGGGAAATGATGGAGGTGAGACACCAAGCACCTTGAACTCACAATAAGACCTAACGTATACATTGCATACGTTGGAAAATTATGTTGTTGGGCTTTATCCAACAGAACTAGTAATCCATCAATTTGTTATGTACAGGTATATTTAAATAATACGATGATCCGATTAAATTTATTTTGTTTCAAGGCGATGGTTACAATTACCCAGTTAGGCATCTTAATCTTTCTTCGCAGAGGGTAAAGAATATATGTCTGTGAGGATTGTCATATCTGTGTATATAGACATACCACAATTCACATGTAGACTTATGGCTAATTTAGAGCAGGGGTGTGTGTATGCGGCACACACCTTTATCCTAAAAATAATGCTCGGAAAAATCTAATCTACCCCTTCTCTGGATAGTTTGACTTATTGTGACATTTTTTTCTTAGAGATGCTGGAGCACATGTTTCAATCGCTCCACTTCAACGTGACACTGTACAAATGGCTTGGCCTGGTCGAGACCGTTTCAAAGCTCAGAGGGGTCTTCCGAGGAAGTCAGGATCACCAAGGCGATGGCTTTGTTTGCTGCATCATCAGCCGCGGTACCGGCACTCACCTCCTGGCCACGGACACGTGCAGCGAAGGGCTCTGTCTCAAAGATGTCTGCCGTCTTTTCACCGGCGATGCGTGTTCAGGACTGGTTGGCAAACCAAAGCTGTTCTTCATCCAGAGCTATAGTGTATCGGCGGTCCAACCCTGTGCCAGAGAGAGCCGGGATGAGAACCTGGAGACGGATGCTGGTGGTGGACAGTTGACGCCCGATTGTATCCCATCAGATGCTGATGTGCTCTGGAGTCACTGCTGGACTGCAGAACATCAACTACAGCAAGCTCAACACCGCTCCATTTACCTCAAGGCTTTGACCGATACCTTAGGCAAGAGCCAGGAAAGGTACGGAGACATCCCCGCTACTCACAAAAAATTGGGGCAATCGGGTGAAATTTTATGAAATTGACTATAACCTTCCCAGCTGAATGTCATTTTACCAAGTTGAAACTTGTCAGTGCAAATGTACAACAGTTTCAGTGCTTTTTGCACAACCTGCTACAAGGAACTGAATGACAAAATGTACATATATTCGATTCATGAATGGACAATGCATTTCCAAAGACACCCACTTCAATGCCTTTCTGTGGCTCTTCCAGTATTCTCTGCATCACTGTTGCAACCCACTGATGACAAACTGCGGCCCCGCCGTGAATAGCAAAAATCCATAACCAATTGCCGCCTCCTCCCCAAAAAGGTTTATAGATACCACCGGATGGTGGCAAAGCACTATGTTTGCCAAAATGAAACTCCTCAACTCACTTTATCATAATTCGTTGACACCAAGATGCCACAAAATGGTGCGAAACCAATACTTTTGAGCACAAAAACACTGAATAGGTGAGCAAATCACAGTGGATAGATTTTTAAAAGTTAGTGACTCGGTGAATTCACGAGTCTTAAACTGCTAATATGAGGGCAATCACTGAATAACCGACTGAACTTAATTTGATCTTCTCTAATCTTTTGAATCCTTACGTCCAGCTGTTCAGTGTTTCAGTACTTTTTTACCCAACTTGCTGTTCTCATAAAAATTGAGAAATTCACAACAGGTGTTTCCATTGAACGGTTGGACAGTGAAAAGTTAACAGCAGGGCAAATCAAGTTCACTTGTAAAGGTCATTCGCATTGCATTTTAGGGTCAATCCAAATATCTCACCGGAAAGCTGATCATCCCTAACTTTTCGTGAGCAGTGTGCTTGGTGGTTCCATGATTTTGCTTCAGTCTTCTGTTTATTTTGCAGTGCTAAACAAATACTTTCTGTGTGCTTCTGACAGGAGGAGACATGTGCTAGATCTTCACAAGGAGGTCAATAGAGCAATCTTTGAGCACAACCGGAGTCATCCTGGTGAGGAATATCACCTAGACCTGAAAACCACTTTAAGAAAAGATCTTTACCTGTAGACATCCAACTACTCGCTCATTTCATCATCGTCAGATATATCATAGGACTGCTGGAGAGCAGGAGCTGCCACTTAGGTGGCACGGAGAGTTTTTGGGTTTTTTGTGACACTAAATTACATTTCGGGTTCTGGTCGTCAGTTATATCGTAGGACTGCTGGAGAGCAGGCGCTGCCACTTAGGTGGCACGGAGGTTTTTTGGTTTTTTGTGACACTAAATTACATTTCGGGTTCTGTAGTAATTCTTTTTCATTTCTGCTACCCATAAGAAAAGAAAAAGCATAACTCACTTGGAGTTAATAGGTGATGCTCACTGAGGTGAAGTCTCAGAAGAAGTTTGAAGTTTGTCCCAAATTTTGTTTGTCGTGGCGCCTTCCATTACTGGAGCCAAATGGTGACACACCTGCTGGTAAAATCAAAAGTGGGTTGTTTTATCTGTTTATTTTGTATTTGATGCCTTAGTTTTATATTTCCTTTGTATGTTTTATACGCACTTCAATCAATTAACAATGCAAACACATTATTTTGTATCACAGACACCTATAGAATATCTAGATAGGTCTCTGTTACATCTTGTATTTATTCTGTGTGCCACTTAACTTGCCACATGCACTGTGCAGCTAAAATCATATTTGAAGGGTTTCATACTTTGTGATGTTTTACTGTATGTGACACTATTTTGTAATTGTATGTTTGCCCGCTGTATGTTTTAATGACACGTGACACGCCTTATACCCATTCAGAATATTGTTTGTGATATGATGTGCTCATACTGACTATGAACAGAATGAAAGTTCTTATTTGAACTGGAGTGGAAGTTAGAACACACTTAGGGCTGTGTGTATCGATTTAAGATTTCAAACATTCAATTCCATTCAAGGCTCACTTTGATTCGTTTGGGATTCAGTTTAGGATTTCACGCAGTCACATTTACTTTCATATGGAAGTCATTCTCAGAAGAACCAATGCTGCAAATGGGAGAAACATCTTGCTCTAACTTGCTGACTTAATAAAAATATTAATATTTACATTAAGAATTGAACCCAAGGCAGCTACATTAATCATGTATGTTTTTTGTTGTTGTTTTTGTTTTTTTTTTTTGTTAAATACATGCCTGCCTACATACATGCATTTATACATTCTTTACATGGACGTGTAGATGTGCATTCAAAAGCTTAGAGAAGGTCACATTAAGTTCACATGTAACGGAATGCATTTTACACTCGCCATGAAATTTCACCTGAAAGCCAAATATACCTTAACTTTTTGTGAGTAGTGTAAACTTGTTATTCCGGGAAAATGCAGCACGGTGACAACTGGTTAGCACGTTGGCCTCACAGTGCAGAGGTGAATGTATGATTCCGGCTCCGGCCTTCCTGTGTGGAGTTTGCATGTTTTCTCCATGTGCATGGGTTTTCTCCGGGTACTCCGGTTTCCTCCTACATTCCGAAAACTAGCATGGCAGGTTGATTGGGCACTCCAAATTGTCTCTAAGTGTGATTGTGAGTGCGAATGATTGATTGTTTGTCTATGTGTGCCCTATGATTGGTTGGCAAACAGTTCAGGTTCTACCGCCTACTGCCCGAAGACAGCCGGGATAGGCTCCGGCACGCCCACAAACATTGTGAGAGGATACACAGATTATAAAATGGATGGATGGATACTCAGAGAAAAGGAAACTATTACATTCCCTTATGTATTTCCCAATACCGAAAATGTAAATAAAAATGAAAGCTTCACACTGACAAACACATTAAATGTTCTCAGCGTGACAAAACTTTTTACAGCAAGTCCAACTTGGAAAGACACATGAGAACACACACTGGGGGGAAAACATTTTAACTCCTCAATTTGTGGTCAAAGATTCACTGACAAGACGTTATTAAGGCATGGAAGAAACACACTGGCGATAAACGATTTTTCCTGCTTAATTTGTGATAAACTATTCTCTGGTAAGGTTTCTCTGGTAAGGCACACAAGAACACATACTGGGGAGAAACCTTTTTCCTGCTCAGTGTGTGATGAAACATTCACAAGGAAGACAACTTCACTGAGGCACACAAGAACACACATCTGGGAGAAACCTTTTGCCTGCTTAGTGTGTGACAAAACATTCACCGGGAAGACATACAAGAACACACACTGGTGTGTGGCCAAAGACTAACTGAGAAGGCACATTAAGTAAAACATACAAGTACACACACTGGCTCTCCCCAGTGTCAACATCTGCTTGCTCAGTGTGCACCGTAACTTAAATAGATCACATGGAATTGCTTCAATACATTAATACTCAACTTGTGGTCAAAGATTCTCTCAGTGGCACACTTTGACAGGAATCCATATTGAATGAGCAACCATGAGACACATGCGGGCTGGTGAGATGTTGAGTTTATCAATAAATTGTAAAGAATCTTTGACTTTGTGGTATGACGGAAATGTGTATACAGGTATGCGATATATATGAAATCAGCTCTTCAATCAAGGGTGTTTCAGCATCCACCAACGCTGGGCGGCACCATCGCGATGGCACAAAGGTCCCAGAATCGAGGGCTCCCTTTGAGGGGAATGGAGCACAATCTTTCTCGGAAATTGAATCGATCACAGCTGTTCTGCTTTCAGATTGAGCGTGCAATGACACGTTCTCACCTGCTGGGGGCAATAACGCACTAGAATGGGCTAACAATACATCGTGTACCGGAAGTAAATCCTTCTATGTTCCGCTTGTCATCAATGAACACTAGAAAAAAGCTAGCAAAACGACGCGGTCTACAAGCTCGCAATCATGATCACATTTTTTCCACCTCTATGTATATTTGTCGAGTACTAGAACAATCTGACTGATGACTTCATTGTCGGTGCACTTTGTAGCTTCTAGTGGAATTTCACGACACATCGCCATGCAGTGATTCAGTGAGTGTCGAGCTGTGTGGTCGTCGTTTGAAATGAAAATGTGTGCAAAAAATGTGAAAGAAGAGTACGAGGAGGAACTTGGTGGAACAAAAGACGACAACGAGCGAAAGCGTCAATTGGATGTTGTTTTCGAGAAACCTCAAGTTGTGTTACACGGAGCAGGTTTGTCTCACTCTCTGTTGTCTAATTGCCTTTTTTTCCCTGTCTTCGGCATTCTTCTTCCATAATATTGACCGTGTTATAGTTTACATAGTTTTCTATTACGTGGCGTCGGCTCGATTTTCGTTTCATAATTTCCAGTGATTGACAGGTGGCAGCCCAGGTTGTAGTACTTTCTGTCATGGCCAAAAACATTGGCATTGCTTCTGCCGTATAATGCGTTGCTTATTTCAGAAAGTTCTTGTAATTACTAAAATCTTCAGTATACACATGTCATTGTCATTGTTATTTGTTAGTGGAACAATGCAAAAAAAGTGTGTGTGTGTGTGTGTGTGTGTGTGTGTGTGTGTGTGTGTGTGTGCGTGCGCGTGTGCGCACAGACCAATCAAATCTTGGGGTTTGCTGTTTGATGTTTGTAAAAAAAAAAAAAAAATTGGGTCAGCTTGACTAAGACTAAAAAGAATTGTGTACAAAAAAGGATCCAATTGACCCCAGTAGCTGCCAGTCCCTTTTTGATCCATAATTGTGTTATGTTTGTCCCAACTGTTTTTTGATTGCACCTCCTAGCGGTCATTAGGAACTCATCGATTCAGGGTTACAGTCATCAGTTTTGTTATAATACCTTCAGAAATGCTAAAAGCAAGTGAAAGGCTGAGGCGAATCCCAGCATTTGGACATGGGGCGCTGCAACACAATATTGAAACGGTCCCAAGCAGGATG